TGGCCTCCCGGCCGTCCAAGCTCGTTTCCTCTCGCATCTGGGCCTCCTGCTCTGTTCCATCTCCATGAAGGGCACTGCCTGCCACCAGATTGCTCAGTGCACAATGTGGGTTCCATTTTTGATCCTTTTTTTTTTTTTTTAAGATTTATTTTGAAAGATAGAGATCCGCCTTCTATTCACTCCCCAGATGACTGCAACAGCCAGCCCTGGGCCAAGTGGAAGCCAGGAGCCTCTTCCAGGTCTCCCAAGTGTGTGGCAGGGGCCCAAGGACTTGGGTCATCCTTGACTGCTTTCCCAGGCCATTAGCAGGGAGCTGGATGGGAAGTGGAGTAGCTGGGACTCGAACTGGCACCCATATGGGATGCCCGCACTGCGGACAGCGACTTTACCTGCTACGCTATGACGCTGGCCCCTGATCCCTCCTTTTCCATTGATTTCCATGAGCCGTCCCTGAAGTTTGTCTCCCGTATTTACCTGCTGTGTGTCCTCCTTGTTGCTCTACCGCAGTCCTGTTCCAGTCACCAGCACTGAACCGCGTGACCGAGCGAGCCTCCTTGGTCTCCCCGGACTCAGTCTTACCTTCTGACCAGTGCCTGCCTTCAGTCTGCAACCAAAAGGGTCCCTGTAAAATGCACATCTGGCCACGTCAGTTCTCTTCAAACTCTGGCTCCTCATGGTCCTTAGAACAAAATCCAGAATGCCCTGAACAATGAGCAGGCCTCTGGGGCCCTGGTCTTCGCCTGGTTCTCGGTCTCCGGTCTGGCAGCGCCTGCACGGCTTGCTGCCCCCAGCTGTCCTGAGCTTCTCATGCGCTGGCACGGGCAGCCGTTTACGTGCTGTTGACTTTGCCTGGATTCTACTTCGTTTTTGCCTGGCTATTGCTTGTTTCTGTGCTGGACCTCGGCGTCAGTGTCACTGTCTATAAGGAACTTCTCCAATTCCTGCAGAGCTCGGTTAGACACCCTGTTGCGTGGCCCCTATGGAGCACATAGAGGTCACACTGCATAGTGGTTGCGTGTTGACGTGTCTTCTTTCCCTTCTATGCTGGGAACGTAACGAGGCAGGAAAGTGGGGCTGCTTCGCTGGCACATCAGTGCCTGGCGTATTACCTACCAAGAACTGGTCCTCTACTCGGCCACCAGTCCTCGCCAAGAGCCGCTGTTGGCCGGTGATCCTGAGGGACCCTGCTCATTGCGCCGTGCTGGCACTTACGTTAAATGAGTGTTTTCCTGTTTTTGGGAGCTTAATCACACCTGAACTTTCAAACAACATTATCTAAATGTAAATTGTGGAAGTTGTATTAGATGAGGCTGGGAAGCAGTTTATGAATTTACTGTGCCGTGAAGTATACCTTTGAAGATTTGTCCACCCAGCGTTGACTGAAGTCAAGAAGGCACCCGGGCAGTTCCGTGGAGTCGGGTCGGCAAAGGGCTACAGCGCAGCTTCCCGGCCCGCCCTGCCTGCAGCCAGCTTCCCATCTCTGAGTGCGTGCTGTGTGTGACGTCCTCACGCCTGCCTTGCGGCGCTGTGACGGAGATGAAACGTTGATGAAGCAGCTGCTGTTGGGTGGTTACCGTAGGATGTTAAGTTACCTTCAGTTCCAGCTCTGCTGCTCTTACTGAAACGCTTTTGGGTTTCCTTTCTGAAATGGCTTTCCGAGCTTGCTGCGGACATCAGACAGTCTCAGTGGAGACATCTTTTTTTTCCTTTGAGGATGTGTTTGATTTTTAGGAACAGCCTGGTTCAAAGAGTAGGATCAAGATAGTTGCCACCTGCTTTTGATATTGAAGTGAAGTATGATTGTGAGATTTTCTTCTGTAGTAGCCAACGTGGTGCATATTCCGCCTTCCTTACCGGTGGCATTAACAGTGTATTCCACTTGGCATATTAAATTCAGAGTTAATTCCAACAGACTTTTGACTGTGAGAACACTCTGATAAATCAAGCAGCATTAAGCTCGAGATTGAGATCTTTAGATACGTGTCGCAGCCATCAAAACTTGGCTTGTGGCAGTAAAGGGTTTGGGGGGGTGAGTATGTGGTGATGACTTAGAGGAGCCTGATGCCTTGCAGTGTCTGTCCTTTGTGGAAGGGTTCTGGAACCTGATGGCAGAAATGAGGCAACACGGGCAGGGATGTAGACAGGCTTGCAGCCTTCACAGTTTCTTTCACAGCTTGTGCGGGAAAATCCAGAGTGAGTTCGCAGTGTAAAGGGTTGGAGGCACAAAGTAGTGTTTCTCTGCAAACAGCAAAGCACGAGGGCTGGAAGGTGTTCCTGGGGCCATGTGGAAGGTGGGCGGGGCATCGGCGCAGTCCAGGGAGAGCCAGTGGCCAGTGGCTGTGCCCACTCAGGGCAGTGTGACTGGCGTTCAGTTTCAGCTCTCCTTGTGTATGGTCAGACATGTGAAGTATTCATAAACTACGAGGGTTGTTAGTGTTAATTGCTTTAAACTGCTTTGCTGGTTTTTACCACATTGACCCTATCCTGTTTAGTTGGTTGCTGCTCTAAGATGACTCACTGACGACTGATGGTGAGGGAAACGGAACAGCAAAGCACGAGCGTGCCTGCGTTCTGGGGAGGGAGAAGGTGGCACAGCTCCGCTTGCCGCCCGGGCGGGAGCAGAGTCTCACAGGGCCTTGTTGTGAGGACCCAGACTCCACCAGGCACTGGTTCCCTAAAATCTCTACCGAACAACCTGGGCTTTGAGATGCTGGTTCTCTTTAACGGAAGCTTATTCTTGGGCTTCAGACGTGCAGCATTGGTTCTCTGCGTTGGGCAGTGGTTTCCTGTCGCGGGAGGTTGCTCGATGGAACGTGGGCGTATCCTGCAGCTCGGCGGGGGAAGACCAGTCACTGAGCAGCTCTGACTGTGGCCGTGGCCAAAGGCAGCCGGTTGCTTATTTTCATTTATTCTCATTCAAATTTCAGTACCAAAGTGGACTTTGAATAACTGAAAGTAGTGCAGAATTCAAGGTCCTTGATGTTAGAAAAAGGAAGAGAACATGGCCTTTCCTTTCTTTGAAATTTTTTCTGCTAGGTTGGTTATTGGTCATCTTTTCTAGGTATTAGTTGCTATTTTTTTTTTTTTTTGAAAGAGTTAGGGAGGGAGGGAGGGAGAAGCAGAGATTGTCCGTCCTCTCTGGTTCACTCCCCTGATGGCCACAGCAGCTGGAGCTGGGCCAGGCTGAGCTGGGGAGCTTGTTCCTGTTCTCCCACGTGGGTGCAGGGCCCAAGGACTTGGACCACCTTCTGCTGCTTTCCCTGGTGCGTTAGCCAGGAGCTGGATCGGAAGTGGAGCAGCCGGGTCTTGAACCAGTGCCCCCACCCTGGCCCCATGTAGGATGCTGGCGTCTCAGGCAGAGGCTTAACCTACTATGCCAAAACACTGACCCCTAGTTTCTTGACTGAGGTTAAGCAGGTTGAAGTTGTCAACGTGGGTAGCACTGACTCTAATGGAGAAGATTCTGGAGCTATCTAGGCAGTTAGCACTATTTAAAGTCCTCTCTGGTTTATACCTCCTTTAGAGCCCTTTTGTATTTAATGTAATTCTTATTTATTGCTAAATAAACTAGATACTTTGGTTACATGACCAGGAAATTGTACTTTTTCACATGGATACTGCAAGAATTTGTTGAATCATGCTTAATCTCACATCTTTTCCACTTAATTACAGTCTAACTGTATTTTTCCATTTTAGAGATGATTAAAACATTTATTTGCATCCATTAACCAGTACAAATATGAGCATTTAAAAAAATTTTTTAGGTCATCAAATTCTGAGAGAAGGTTTTCATTTTTGGAAGCCAAAATTTTGCCTCTTGACAGAATTTTCCATTCATTATATAATTGAGTGTTTGACAGTGATAAAAGAAAACAAAGGACTTATATAAAACAGTAGCAAAAGCAAGTAAACATCAGATTTATTTCTGGCAAATGACCTCAGTAATTTCCATTGAATATGAATTCCATTGAATGCAGGAGGCAAATGACCTGAGTAATTTTTCCCTGGTTAAGAAATTGTGGGAAGTAGGGAATGCGTGTGTGTGTGTGTGAATTTCTCACCATTGTTTTAACAAATTCCCACAAACTTAGAGGTGCAACAGTGTCTCATCACACACGCGCTCTGTGGATTCGTGGGTTGCCCGGGACTCGACCTTCTGGGGGCTCCAGGAGGCTGTCCACTCCCTGGCCTTCCTGTTGCTGGACTGCTGCTTGTCTTGATGCCTGCTCAGCCTCCATTTCCAAAGCCATCAAGGCTGTGTGCTTCTGACCCTTCTTCTTCTTCAAAATTTATTTATTTATTTGAAAGTCAGAGTTACACAGAGAGGCAGAGAGAGGGGGAGAGAGAGGTCTTCCATCTGATGGTTCACTCCCCAGTTGGCCACAATGGCTGGAGCTGTGCCGATCTGAAACCAGGAGCCAGGTGCTTCTTTCTGGTCTCCCATGTGGATGCAGGGGCTCAAGGACTTGGGCCATCTTCTACTGCTTTCCCAGGCCATAGCAGAGAGCTGGATCAGAAGTGGAGCAGGCGGGACTGGAACCGGTGCCCATATGGGATGCCTGCACCGTAGGCGGCAGCTTTACCCACTACGCCACAGTGCCAGCCCCTTCTTTGTTTCTGATAATATTTGGGAAGGCTGTGCTTTAAGGACCCTGTGGTTAGCTTGGGCCTGTCCAGAGAATCTAAAATAATCTCCGCATCCCAGGTCCTAAATTTAACCACAGCTGCAAAGTCCCTGATGTGAAGTGAAGTAAGGTGTCCTCTGGCGATGAGGATGTGGATGTTTTAGGGGGAGGGACGCTGTCCTACCAACCACAGGACGGAGAGACTTGCATTTAACACAAAATTTCATTCAGAGAACATACATTTTTCAGAAGTGCCCGTGGTTTGTTACCGGGTCCGTAAGAAGCTTCCACGTGGCGTTTGAGGGAGGAGGTGTGTGTGTGGTCAGGATCTCGGCTGTTGAAGCTCATGGCCGTCTGCTTTGTTTCTTTCGACAGTGATAACCTGCTGAGGAGAGCGGCCTGTCAGGAAGCCCAGGTAATGCATTCTCGGGACAGAGTTACGGCTCCTTATCTCCACGCTGCAGGAAACCCAGGCCGCCCCTGGGACCTGGCAGTGTTCGTGTCCAGTGTTTCGGCTCCTCTTCCCCAGCGTCAGGGATGAATCGGGCTGAGAGCCAACTCCGAGTAGAAGGGGAGGAAGCTGTCCACCTGCTGAAGAGCAGCTCTGGCGCCCGCCCCTTCAGCCTGGGTTGCTCTGGATCATTCCCAAGAATGCATACCTGGACTGGCTGGAGCTCTGGGAATTTGTTTCTGCAGTTGTCCTGGAAGATCTGGCTAAACTGTGAATCACCGCTGATCCAAATAACCCCCAAGGATATCAGTTCAAAACAGGTGTTGCCGCTGAAAGTCAAATCCTCTTAAAATGGTTGATTCGTATTTTTGAATCCCATCTGTCTAGCACAGCTGATTCTTACCATGTGTCCTGCTTGCCCAACTCCATGAGGTTTACTTAAATACCCGTTTGTCTGGGAGCATTTATAGCTGAACGGTGAATCCTTTGAACTGTAAGACCATAGTTCTGCTCCTCCCTCCCGGTTTGTGCGCTACACCTTGGGGCTGCATGGCTGGGACTCAGTAACTGGTTATATGGCAGTTAAGCTTATGACGTCAGAAGTACCACAGAAGAAACGTGAAGGTAAAAAAAATAGCAAAGGGATAAAGAAGTTAGTCAGAGAAGTGGTTTTCTTTTTTTTTTTTTAATAGAAAACATTTAATAAATTTCAAAAGTGCAACTTTTGGATTATAGTGGTTCTTCCCCCATAACCACCCTCCCACCCACAAACCACCCCATCTCCTACTCCCTCTGCCATCCCATTCTTCATTAAGATTCATTTTTAATTATATACAGATCAACTCTATACTAAGTAAAGATTTCAACAGTTTGCACCCACACAGACACGCAAAGTATACAGTACTGTTTGAAGACTAGTTTTACCATTAATTCTCATAGTACAACACATTAAGGACAGAGATCCTACATGGGGAGCAAGTGCACAGTGACTCCTGTTGTTGATTTAACAGCTGACACTCTTATTTATGACGTCAATAATCACCCGAGGCTCTTGAGACAATGAAAGATTGAGCTGCTAAGGCCATGGAAGCCTCTTGAGTTCACAAACTCCAACCTTATTTAGACAAGGTCATAATCAAAGTGGAAGTTCTCTCCTCCCTTTAGAGAAAGGTATCTATCTCCTCCTCTGTTGGCCCCTACAGAAGTGGTTTTCAGAGTTCATGCTTGTTTCTGAAACAAATAACCATGAAGACAGATGCTAGTCACAAATTTATCTCTTTAAATCCATGTTTTAAGAATTTTATTTATTTTTTTGTTTCAATGTGTTATGATTCTAAGTTGTTTTGGAAACCAATTCAAATAAACTTCAGTAATAACTGAGGTGGTCACTGCCCCCAGCTGGCCATTAGCAATGGAGACTCCTCTTGGGAGAAGAACTGGAGCTTTGAGTACATAAGATTCTAGGAGCCATGGGATCAGGACAAGGAGGAATAATGTAGTTGTGTAGATCTGGAATCTGGCATGCTGGAGAGCCTTGTTAATTAAATCACTTCTGGCCACATTCAAGAAAGGGTAAGAAAAGAACAAATGACAGTATTTGGACATTTGTTGGCAAAATGCTAAGTCTAAGACTGAAAACAAGGAAATGATAACAACCAGCACCTTTCTATATGTAACATATGTATATATATAAACAGTCCATCAGAAATAATCTGAAGGTTTTTGTTTTTGTTTTAGAAAGATTAATTTACTGGGGCCAGTACTGTGATACAGAGGGTTAAAGCCCTGGCCTGCAGTGCTGGCATCCCATACGGGTGCTGGTTCGAGTCCCAGTTACTCTGCTTCCAGTCCAGTTCCCTGCTGATGTGCCCGGGCAAACAGCAGAGGCTGACCCAAGTGCTTGGGCCCTGCACCCACATGGAAGATCCAGAAGAAGCTTCTGGCTTCAGATTGGCTCAGCTGCAGCCATTGCAGTCATTTTGGGAGTGATCCAGCAGATGGAAGACCCCTCCCTCCCTCCCTCCCTCCATCTCTACCTCTCTCTCTCTCTCTCTCTCTCTCTGTAACCCTTTCAAATAATAAAATCCTTTCAAAAAGATTTATTTATTTGAAAGGCAAAGTTGGAGATACCTTCCATTCGCTGACTCACTCTCCAAATGGTTGCAACAACTGGGGCTGGGCCAGGATGAAGCCAGGAGTCAGGAACTCTATCCTGGTCTCCCAGGCACATTAGCAGGGAGTTGGATCAGAAGCAGAGCAGCTGGGACTCACACTGGCGCTCATAGAATATTGGCATTGCAGGAGGCAGGTCAACACACTTTGCCACAAGTCTGGCCAGAAGCGTTTCTTCAAAGCAAGAAATCATCAGTCATGAGAAAGAATTTCTAGTGGATTGATAGTAGATTTAGTGAGTTATTTGATAAGAATCTTTGCATAACTTCAATTTTTCTCCTGTCTCTCCTTTCTAGAATTCTAGAATTGTAGAACTTGCTGCCTTGGTCCATCCAAGACTTTTTTTTTTTTTTTTTTTTTGACAGGCAGAGTGGACAGTGAGAGAGAGAGACAGAGAGAAAGGTCTTCCTTTGCTGTTGGTTCACCTTCCAATGGCTGCCGCGGCCGGTGCGCTGCGGCCGGCGCACCGCGCTGATCCGATGGCAGGAGCCAGGTGCTTCTCCTGGTCTCCCATGGGGTGCAGGGCCCAAGTACTTGGGCCATCCTGCACTGCACTCCTGGGCCACAGCAGAGAGCTGGCCTGGAAGGGGGGCAACCGGGACAGAATCCGGTGCCCCGACCGGGACTAGAACCCAGTGTGCTAGTGAACCGCAGCGCCGGCTCATCTAAGACTCTTATCTTTGCCCCTCTTAGTGCTGTCGCTCTCATTCTCTTTGTCCACCTCATTCTCCAGTCCAAATATAATGGCAGCCGCTCCTACTCAGCCCCCATTTTCACTCCCCAGATCTAGTTCTCTGCCTCACCCTTCATTGTTCTTTAGCGCTGAGACAATGAAAGATTGAATTTTGGAGTTAGGTAAAAATTCTTGGCTTATGACTTTGAATAACTTAACTTTTGGAATCTTGGCTTTCTGATCTGTAAAAATGAGATTATTCAATACCTCTGTGGTTTCTGAGAATTATGTGTGTAAATGTGCAGCTGTTCGGGGCCTAGTAAATACTAACTGCATTTCTGTGTGAGTTGCTGTTGTCTAGTTAGCATTCAGAGTTGCAAAGAGGAGGAGGCAAATAGAGGGGTTCATTTCTCATATGTATAAAGATATGAAGATGAGTTGGTAATAAATATTTTTATGAACAAGCTATACCAATAAAAGTTGAAGAAAAGGATTGTACTCAGAAAACTAAACACTCCCTCCAGACAGCCTGTGGTGTTACAGGTTTTATGTTTATAAAAAAACCTAACCATATCTTACAGAGAAAAGAAAAAGTTACTTTCCTCCCGTAGGTGAGGCAAGGTGTTTATTCCAGTATAAAATTGAGCCTTCTGCCCTTAAATAATGGTACACTTTTGATGTTAATATGCGATCATAAAAGATATGGCATCCACTCTGGGAAGAAAACCAGATCTATAGGAGTGAGTTTTTTGGAATTGAAGAATGTATGTGATCTGAATGAAAGGACATTTGTAGAAAGCTGTTCTTTTTTTTTTCAGGTGTTTGGCAATCAGCTCATTCCTCCCAACGCACAAGTGAAGAAGGCGACGGTCTTTCTCAACCCTGCAGCTTGCAAAGGGTAGTTCAGTCTGTGCTGTGCTGTGTGCGGCGTTTCTAAGCGGGAAATCGCAGCGCGTCAAGCAGCTGGTTAGATTGTGTAGAACTGGAAGAAGGAGCTTCCGTACTCCTTTAGCACTGAGATTCATCTGCAATGTAGAAATAACACTTAATAAGAAATAGCTGTAAAGCGAATCGATGCTTAGCCCAGTTGTCTGATTGCAGTCTAATAAGCATTCTAGAGTTAACACACTCAAGGAAGTCTCCTCTGCTTGAACATAGTCCCCGTGGGAGCGGCCGCTCTGCTGTGTGGCGTAATTGTTGGTCCATTTCTGTCAACAGGATGTTCAGAGATGGCTAAGAGCACCGGGGGCTGGGGAGGGCAGAACGTTCTTCCTGGAAGGCTTGGAACCTCGAGCGGGGTCTTCCTGACTGAGGAGATGGGCCCTGGGGCGCGAGGGCCCTGCGTGTGCCCGTTTCGTCACAGGGCAGTCTGCGAGGAGACTGGGGGAGGAGCTGGGGTGCCGGTAGGTAGTGATGGGTTCGTGGGGTTCACCGACTGCACCAAATGTAGCACCAGAAGGGGAGGCTGCGGGGGTTGGGCAGCTGGGAATTCAGTCTGTTCCCCGGAACACATGCCATAGGCAAAAACCTCGTCGGCAGTGTTAGTTAGATGACAACTCTCATTTGGAAAGGTGAATACAGAGACCCCTAATGCCTTTGGAGGAAATCACTTAGAATTTACGTTAAAAAAATGTTGAGGAAGAAAAAAAATGTGATCCCTTTTATTTTCCTTCTGCCCACAACAGCTCATGTGGGCTTTCCTGAGGATTCGTCGTGCGCCACCCAGTGACAGGGACGCTCTGACAGGTGCATTGTTGAACAGTTGGGCCATGCATTTCATTTTGTTCATTTTGTTGTGAGATTCCATTGAGAGCACGCGCACTAACCTCGATGGTATAGCTTATTACACACCTAGGCTGCATGGTGTAGCCCATCACTCCCGGGTTAGTGTGCTACTGAAGTAGATACAGGCAGTGTGGGTGCAGTGGTATTCGTGTATCTAAACACAGAAAAGCACAGTGAGAGTACGGTGTAGGGCCAGGCATTTGCCCTGACCGTGAGGGTGCTGGTTAGGACGCCCATGGCCGTGTTGCCTCAACTCAATTATTTGTCTGCTCCTAACTCTGGCTTCCTGCTGTTGCAGACCTTGGGAGGCCGTAGTGATGGCTTAAGTAATTGGCCGTCTGCCACCCACATGGGAGACTTGGATTGAGTTCCTGGCTCTCAGCTTTAGCCCAGTCCTCACTGTAGCTGGCATTTGGAGAGTGAACCAGCGGATAGAACTTTCTCACTCTGTCTCTTTGCCTCTCAAATAAAAAATTTAGAAAATATGGCATGAAAGATGAAAAGTGGGGTCTGTGCAGTACACCTCCCACGACTGGGACTGGCCGTTGCTGTGGGCGAGTCCGGGGTGAGTGCCTACGACGTTTTATACACTACAGTAAAGTGTACGTGGGGCCACAGTGGGTGTATACACATCTTTCTTCAGTAATCACTGTAGCTTACTGTGACTTGTATGCTTTATAAACTTTTTTTTTTTTACTCCTGTACTAACACTTAGCTTAACTTTTTAAACTCTTCTGTTAAAACTAAGACACAAACACGCTAGCTTTGGCCTGTCCGGGGCTGGCCTCGTCCGTATCACTGACTGCCACAGCTTGTCTCACTGTGGTGAAGACACTTGTCTTCGGGGTGGTCACGTGCACAGAGCTGTCATCTCCTGTGCTGACAGTGCCTTTTGTGGAACAGCAGCTGGAGGACCAGCCTGAGACTGCTCTTATAGTGAACCTTCTGAGTAAGGAGTACGCTCTGCCGTGATGACTGCAGTGTATACAATAGCCAGTGACTGGATTTATTATTATCACTACCATGTACTTCAGGTTGAACGTCTGTAATCTGAAAACCTGAAGTCTGAAATGCTCCAAAATTTGAAACTATCTCAAAAAGTTTCCGATTTTTTTTTTAAAGAGGTGTTTATGTGAAGGGCAGAGAGAGAAGGAGAGCGAAGTCTTCCATCTGCTGGTGCACTCCCCAAATGGCTGCAGTGGCTGGAGCTGAACCGATCTGAAACAAGGAGCTAGAAGCTTCTTCTGGGTCTCCCTTGTGGGTGGCAGGGGCCCAAGCACTTAGGCTGCCTTCCGTTGCTTTCCCAGGCCATTAGCAGGGAGCTGAATGAGAAGTGGAGCAGCTGGGACTTGAACTGGTACCCAAATGGGATGCCAGTGTTGCAGGCAGTGGCTTAACACCCTACACCACATCACCAGTCCAAAAAGTTCCGAATTTTAAAACCTTTTCTTTTTTTTTTTTTTAAAGATGTATTTATTTGAAAATCAGAGTTAGAGAAAAGGAGAGGCAGAGAGAGGGATAGGGAGGGAGGGAAGGAAGGAGGGAGGGAGGGAGGGAGAGAGGTCTTTCATCCACTAGTTCACTCCCCAAATGGCTACAACAGCCGGAGCTGTGCCAATCTGGAGCCAGGAGCTTCTTCCGGGTCTCCCACGTGGGTGCAGGGGCCCAAGGACTTGGGCATCTTCTACTGCTTTCCCAGGCCACAGCAGAGAGCTGGATTGGAAGAGGAGCAGCGGGGACTCAAACCGACGCCCATCTGGGATGCTGGCACTGCAGGCAGCGGCTTTTCCCGCTAAGCCACAGCACCATCCCCAGAACATTTTCAATTTGAGATTTTTGCATTAGAACTGGTCGACTGGTAAAACTTATGCAGGTATTGCGAAATCTAAAAATAGTGGATTGAAACTACTTCTGACTCCACTCACTTTGGATAAGAGATATGGAACCTGTGTGTACTGTACACAGTTGGTGCGCTATACGCTGATATAACCAGCAGCGTAGCTTTGTTTATCTGAGTTGCCCACAAGGGTGCAGAGGTCCAAGGACTTGGGCCATTTGCTGCTGCTTTGCTGGTCACAGTAGCAGGAAGCTGTGTTGGAAGCAGAGGGGCGGGACTTGAGCTGGTGCTCCCGTGTGGGCTATGGTGTCACGGGCAGTGGCTTAGCCCACCGCGACACAGCACTGGTCCAGCTTGGATTCTGTCAGCTCTCAGTGACGTAAAACGAGAACAGCGACCACAAAACCGTGGCTGGGAACAGACTGTAAAGGGGTGAGGTCAGTGTTGTCTGAGTCAGACACAGCTCTGGAGTCGGTTCCTCTAGACATTTCTTGGGAGACAGTGGGGATTCACAAACAATGAAGACAAATCATGCCTTAAAAATAAGTTTTCTTTATTTGAAAGGCAGAGGCAGACAGGGAGACCAGTCTCCCACCCGCTGGTTGATTCCCCCAGATGCCTGGGCCAGGCTGCAGCCAGGCGCCCAGGACGCAGTCTGAGTCTCCCTGTGCATGGCAGGGACTCCACACAGCGTCGGCACCTGCTGTGTCTCGGGTGCACGTAGAAGAAGCTGGACTGGGAGCAGAGCTGGGGCTGCAGCCAGGCTCATGCTAACTGCTGGGTACAGTGCTGGCCCGTGCTTCAGTTCTCATCCACGTTCAGACTTCTGCCCAGGTTGCCTCGGGGGGCTCTGTCCCTGCTTAATTGAATGTTTGCCCAGCTTTGTTAGAGCTGCTTCCCTCCGCCTGTGAACAGAGCAGTCATAGTGCCTGTTGATCACTGTTGTGTAATAGCAGTGCCGAGCGTTACCACCAATAAACAAGCTTGACCCCAGAGCCAGCGCTGTGGTGCAGCGGGTAAAGCCGCCACCTGCAGCGCCAGCATCCCGTATGGGCGCCAGTTCAAGTCCCGGCTGCTGCTCTTCCGATTCGGTTCTCTGCTATGGCCTGGGATAGCAGTGGAGGATGGCCCAAGTGCTTGAGCCCCTGCACCCACGTGGGAGACCCAGAAGAAGCTCCTGGCTTCAGATAAGCGTAGCTCCGGCTGTTGCGGCCAACTGGGGAGTGAACCAGCGGATGGAAGAGCTCTCTATCTCTACCTCTCTCTGTAACTCTTTCAGATTGAAAACAACAAAAAGCTTAAGCCCAACTGAACACCAAGATCACTGATTAGTCCGTGCTGGCCTGTGGCAGAGGACCACGGAGAATTTGGTCTGGGGCCCGGTCTGGGTGCTGTTAGGCTAACTAGCTCTGTGAAACTGTGGGAGTCATTTCTTGGATCCTTAGTTGCTCACCTGTAAAATCAGAAAGGAAATGGCAGGTACGAGGTAGAATGGGTGATTTGGCCTTAAATGAGACACTGCTGTGGGGCCATGATCATCATTCCCATCCTGGTCAGCCTTCATGGGAGCTGCCGCTGCCCGGTCTGAGCTGTGTTGAGGACATCCTCTCCTTCGCTCTCCCATCTGCCCTAAAGCTCTCCACCTCTCTGCTGGCCTACTTAATGCCACTTGTGTGTTCTGTTCCTGTGCTAGAGACCTAATAAAGTGGCAGCTTGCTAGTTTCTGATGAAGCATGGCAATTTGTTTAGCCTCTAGTCAGCTGTTTTGGGTTCCGACGTCTACGACATCTCCACCTTTTGCATGTTTCCGTAGCTGTTTCAGAGTTTGACACGTAACTGCATTTGCACTTCCGAGGGTGGACTCTTGTTTGAGGTTGTGGTGCCTCTGTCCGAGGGCAGGCTAGGACACCGCCCCTGGAGGACGGCCCTCTTTTCTGGAGGCGTCCCGTGGAGCAGGCGAGCCCGCCTGCTCCGCCACACTGCGGCTCCATCACGCTCCAGCTCCGCTTCGCGAGGCTGCAGCTGCTGCACTCTGGTCCCGCCCCATCATGGCTCTTCCCTGCGGATGATTTATAATTTATCGTGAAGCTGATTTAAAACTACATAACAGCTTAAAGAAATAAGATGACTGTGTTTAGCATTAATTAATAATGCATTAAAGAGCAATTGTGTGCACATCTGAGAGCCTGGAAATTGCTCTAAGTACATGAAGTTTTCCTTCAGCCCTGGTGCTGTCTCACCCCTAATTATGTAGTAAATAATAGATTTTTCCATCTTTTAGAGGGAGCATTGGGAATCAAAAGGATTCACCCTGGTTTTAGAGCTTTTCTGGACCTGTGGCGTTGTAGACGTGCATGACAACCCAAGTGCTCTAGTCTTGACCTGGGTTGGAGATGTTAGCTTTGTCTGTGGGTGTGGCACGTCCCCTTCTTCAGGGTTTGCTTTTAGGAAATGACAGGCCACTCGATTGTTACGCTTTACTACCTACTGGACTTTGAGACCAGTCCCTGGCCGGGGTTGGGGAGGGAGGACTTACAACTTCTGCAGTCCTTGCTCCCAGCTGTGTTCTCTAGCCTGACCTGAACTGGACAGTAGCTCCCTTCCACAAGACGTCGCGGTTGGATCACTTCCTTCTCAGACTTGCATGTCTGTGTTTGGGACGGGGCATTCCTTCAGACCGTCCGTGTCCTCTCAGTGTGCCACCTGGCATCCTGGGGGCTAGGGGCTTCCAGCGGTAGCAAGAGCGGCTGTCCTGCAGTGCCTCCTGTGCAGTTCCAAAGGCAGCTTGGCCATGTGTGCCCCCACAGGTCTGCAGAAGGGCGTGGCTGTGCCTGCAAGGTCGAGGCGTGCCGCTGACCGGTCTCCTGTTGCCACATCAGATCATTTCTGACTTGATCCTTTCCTAGCAGAGATTCTGCTTTCATGGAGAAGATTTTTGCTGTGTGTGCGGGGATTTCACTGTAGGCTTAAAGTTCAAGGAATGGAGATAGCCCTGGTGTTGGAAATTCTTAGAACTGATGTATCTTTCCTCACAAGATGTTTACTGGGCTAGAATTGAAGGCACTGTTTGACTCCGTTCTCTGGCCAAACGAGAAATGTTGCAGTAAGTCGCTTCCCTTTTCCCACCGGGATAGAAGTTCCACGAGCACACGTGGTTTGGTCTGCGTTGTCACGCCCTGTCCCCAGCTCCTCCAGCCCTGTCTGTCACACGGTAGAGGCTGTTGACAGGCATTGAGTGTGAGCTATGATACGCAAATGGGCACAAACTGACGCTACAGACGGGGCCAGCTCGTGAGAGCGTGAAGGTTCTAGTTCTCAGTCCATAGTAGTTCATGCTCCTTGTTCAGCCTCCTGTGCTTGACCAAAGAAAGAAGACCCGTGTCACATGGTCTACCCTAGAGAACATGGTTGGGCTTTTTATCCTTCTCCTGAGAACTTGTGGTAAATACTTATACTTTCTCTTTTGTCTGCAGCAAAGCCAGGACTCTATTTGAAAAAAATGCCGCCCCGATTTTGCATTTATCTGGCATGGATGTGACCGTCGTTAAGGTGAGAATGGCTCTGGTTGTTAATTTTGTCCAACTACCACTCCTTACGACATGCGCTCTTCTCTTGACTTCATAGCAGAAGTCACTTGCTACTAAGACAGGAGCAGAAGACTTAGTGGGGTGTCCCGTTCTGAGAATTAATGAGAGCCGTTTTGTTTTTTTCTGAACATTGTCAGCTTTTTATTTTCAGAATAGGACTGGCTGAGGCATAGAGCGCTTGATACATATCACCTGAGAGGCAGACTGAAGGGACATTCCTTGTGGAAGAGGGAAGTTTTTAAAACTAGGACTTCTTTTCTTGGGGTGGGTGATGGGACTCCGTGGGCTAGGCCGCCACCTGGGACACCTGCACCCCATGGGAGAGTGCCAGTTTGTGCCCCAGCACCTCTGCTCCCAGGCCTTGCTGCTGCTGTGTCCTGGGAGGCGGTCGATGATGGCTCGAGGACTTGGACCACCGCCACCTACGTGGGAAACCCAGGTGGTGTTCTGGGATCCCGACGTAAGCCTGGCTGCTGTGGGCATTTGGGAAGGGAACCAATGGACGGAAGATCTCTCTCTGTCTCTCTGTCTCTTTCTCACTCTTCTTTCCAGGTGGATGAAAATAAAGCTTTTATAGAAGAACGTTTTTCCTGAGAATACAGACCTTCGTGATTGAGTAGTAACTTTCTTGTTTCACAAATAAGTACAAACTTTTCTCTCTGGTAAGGGGTTATCTCTGATGAGGAATTTAACATTGTAGATCTCAAGAGTTTGTGAGATTCGAGGCTGGCGTTAAGGCACAGCACGTTAAGCCACTGCCTGCAACACCGGCACCTCGTTTGGGTACTGGTTTGAGTCCCAGTTGCTCCACTTCCAATTTAACTCCCTGCTAATGTGCCTGGGAAAGCAACAGAAGATGGCCCAAGTCCTCAGACCCCTGCACCCATGTAGGAGACCCAGGTGAAGGGTTCTCTCTCTCCCTCTCCCTCTCCCTCTCCCTCTCCCCTCCTTCCCCCTCTCTCCCCTCCCACTCGGACCTTCACCCCTTTTCCTCCTCCATGTGTTTCTAACTCTGCCTTTCAAATAAATCTTCAAAAATTATTAAGATTAGAAAAGGCAACAAAATGAGTTAGAAGAAATTGTTTGATTTCAGTAGGTGACTCAGAACACCACTTTGTTGAATTTTAATTGACTTACGTGTGGAGGTGTACATAGGAGTCTGTGTTTAGTGAAATTAGAAATCCCGCACTCTGTGGATTTGTCTGTTGCTCACTGTAGTTTTGTCCATTTTTGCTCCTTGAGAATGTTATGAGGTACACTAAAGTTTTGATTTATTTGATTTTCTTGCATTTTGACCCTATGATAGAGTGACTCTCTTTAGCATTAATACTAGCTTTTGCTGTCATTCTGTCTTACCTGGTATTAGTATTAATTATATTAGCTTCTTGTATATTTTTTGCTGTTATAATATTTTTGAAAAAGGTCTGTTTGAAAGGCAGAGTAAGAACTGGAGAGATGGTTCTTCCGTTGCTGGTTTACTCCCCAGCCGGCCACAGCAGCCAGGTCTCGGCCAGGTTGAAGCCAGGAGCCAGGAATTCTGTCCGGGTCTCTGACAGGTGGCAGAGAACCAAGTCCTCGGGCCACCCTCTGCCTTCCCAGGCGAGCGGAAGTGGAGCAGCCAGGCCTCAAAGCGGCACTCCGGTATGGGAGCTGGCGTCTTGAGGCAGTCTGACCTGCTGCACCACAGTGCGGGCCCCACTGCGGTGCTGCGGTTTTGCACTCTTTTTCTTTCAACATTTTTATGGTCTGTATATTTAAGTTGCATCATTGATTAAGGCATGAGAACAGGATATTTTGAAGACTTGGCACACCCCTCAGTATCTAGCTAGGGAGTGGCGCCTCTGACACACCCCTCGGTGTCTAGCTAGGGAGTGAGGTCTCTCACACACCCCTTAGTGTCTAGCTAGGGAGTGAGGTCTCTCACACACCCCTCGGTGTCTAGCTAGGGAGTGAGGTCTCTCACACACCCCTCAGTGTCTAGCTAGGGAGTGAGGTCTCTCACACACCCCTCGGTGTCTAGCTAGGGAGTGAGGTCTCTCACACACCCCTCGGTGTCTAGCTAGGGAGTGAGGCCTCTCACACACCCCTCGGTGTCTAGCTAGGGAGTGAGGCCTCTCACACACCCCTCGGTGTCTAGCTAGGGAGTGAGGCCTCTGACACACCCCTCGGTGTCTAGCTAGGGAGTGAGGTCTCTGACACACCCCTCGGTGTCTAGCTAGGGAGTGAGGTCTCTCACACACCCCTCGGTGTCTAGCTAGGGAGTGAGGTCTCTCACACACCCCTCGGTGTCTAGCTAGGGAGTGAGGTCTCTCACACACCCCTCAGTGTCTAGCTAGGGAGTGAGGTCTCTCACACACCTCCCTGTGGCCTAGGTAGGGAGTGAGGTCTCTCACACACCCCTCGGTGTCTAGCTAGGGAGTGAGGTCTCTCACACACCCCTCAGTGTCTAGCTAGGGAGTGAGGTCTCTCACACACCTCCCTGTGGCCTAGGTAGGGAGTGAGGTCTCTCACACACCCCTCAGTGTCTAGCTAGGGAGTGAGGTCTCTCACACACCCCTCGGTGTCTAGCTAGGGAGTGAGGTCTCTCACACACCCCTCAGTGTCTAGCTAGGGAGTGAGGTCTCTCACACACCCCTCAGTGTCTAGCTAGGGAGTGGCGTCTCTGACACACCCCTCGGTGTCTAGCTAGGGAGTGAGGTCTCTCACACACCCCTCGGTGTCTAGCTAGGGAGTGAGGCCTCTCACACACCTCCCTGTGGCCTCGGTAGGCAGTGACGTCTCTGAGCGCCTCTTGTGTCTTTAGGGTGCTGCTCACCTCTGCTGGCCCTGCGGTCTCCCCTAGGCGTCTTTATATGGCCGTTGTGTTCCCTGAGGCTAATGTCATTATCTCATTATACCCCTTTGTCTTTTAACAAATAAGGATACAAATTATTTTAACAAATAAGGATACTTTCTGTATAACTTTTTCTGTATAACTGCAGTGGCGTTTTTATATCCAGTGAAAGTAACAATTCTTATGTCATCTTATGCTAGCTAGCCCGTGTTCAAATTGTCATGTGACCCATGTATTTGCAATTTCCCCATTTTAGATACTTATTACTTGCAAGTACTTAAGTATTATGTGTGTTACATGCACAGAAACTAGAAATTTAAAAGGATGCTGTTTCAAAATTGGTGTCCTCACACGTCCTCACTCCTGCATTTCTTCCTGGTGTAGGGTTTCTGATGCTATTTGCTTTTCTTAATTTTTTTTTTTTTGACAGACAGAGTTAGAGAGACAGAGAGGAAAGTCTCCCTTTTACCGTTGGTTCACCCCCCAAATGGCCGCTACGGCCCACGTGTTGAGGCTGGCACACCGCGCTGATCTGAAGCCAGGAGCCAGGTGCTTCTCCTGGTCTCCCATGAGGTGCAGGGCCCAAGCGCTTGGGCCATCCTCCACTGCACTCCCGGGCCACAGCAGAGAGCTGGCCTGGAAGAAGAGCAACCGGGATAGAATCCGGCGCCCCGACCGGGACTAGAACCTGGGGTGCTGGCGCCGCTAGGTGGAGGATTAGCCTCGTGAGCCGCGGTGCCGGCCCTCCGATGCCATTTTCTAAGAGGACGCTGTCAGTCCTGTGAGTTCAGAAGCTGAGAGACGGTTCTAATTTTGAGAGCTCAGACATAACCCTTAACATGGCGGGCTGTGGGTTGAGCCACTGATTGCAGTGCTGGCATTCCGTATTAGCACTTGTTGAAATCCTGGCTGATCCAGCTCCTTGCTCATGCATCTTGAAAAGCAGCAAAGAATGGCCCACGTGCTTGGGACCCTGCACCTATGTGGGAGACCTGGAGGAAGCTCCTGGCTCCTCACTTGGACCAGCTGGGCTCTGGCCATTGTGGCCATTTGGGAGTAAACCAGCAGATGGAAGCGCTCTCTCTGTGTCTCTGTCTCTGTCTCTGTCTCTCTCTCTCTCTGTAACTGCCTTTCTTAGGGAAGGAGAGAGAGGGAGATATCTTCCATCCTTTGGCTCACTCTCCAACTGTCTGCAACAGCTGGAGCTGGGTGGATCTGCAGCCAGGAGCTCACGGGTCTCCCAGGCAGGTGCAGGGCTCAAGCACTTGGGCATCTTCACTGCCCTCCCAGGTGCGCAGGGAGCTGGATTAAAAGTGGAACAGCCAGGATTCGAACTGATGCTTGTACGGGATGCTGGCGATGTAGGTGGCGACTTTACCCACTATGCCCCAGTGCTAGCCCCCACATTTAAAATATTTAAAAATAAATTTTAACATATAGATTCAAAAAAAATTTCTGAGGCAGATTTCCCATCAGCTGTTTCACTCCCCAAGTGCCTGCTTTGGCCTCGGGGTGGGAGTAGAAGCCAGGAACTCAGCCCGGGTCTCCCGTGTAGAGGGCAGGGACCCAGCTGCTTGAACCGTCTCTTGCTGGTTCCCATTAGCAGGCTGCTGGAATCAGGAGCTGGTTCCTGGTTCCTGGTGTTGAACCCAGGCACTCGAGTGTGGGACATAAGTATTCCCATTGGTGTTGTAACTGCGAGGTCAAATTCTGCCCCTAATGTAGTCTGTTGAATTTGTCAAGACCTCTTAAAATTTTGGTTCTTTCATTCATGTACTCATTCTTATTAAATTTTTTGTGCAAATTTATTGTGCCTACTATGAGCTAAACTCTGTTGTACGTCTTGCAGATACATTCTGAACAAAACAGACTCCTTATCTGTACTTAAAGGGCTTTCTTTCAAAGTTTGAAAGGTGGAACATAGGCAAGAAGCAAATGCATCCGTTGTCAGATGGTGACGAGTGCTGAGAAAGACGGAGCAGGGGGAGGGGGCGGGGCAGGGGGCAGGGGTGGGGGCGGGGCAGGGGAGGAGGGGAGCAGGAGGAGCAGGGGGAGCAGGGGGAGGGGGCGGAGCAGGGGGAGGGTGGCAGGGGGAGGGGGCGGAGCAAGGGGAGGGTGGCAGGGGGAGCAAGGGGAGCAGGGGAGGGTGGCAGGGGAGGAGGGGGAGCAGGGGGAGGGGGTGGAGCAGAGGGAGCAGGGGGAGGGTGGCAGGGGAGGAGGGGGAGCAGGGGGAGGGTGGCAGGGGGAGCAGGGGGAGGGTGGCAGGGATGCTGTTTTAGTGGAGGTGCTCAGTGAAGGCTGGGCTGACTGTGAACAGAGGCCTGAAGGAGACAAGTGAGCCATGCAGATGCTGGAAAGGGAACCCAGGCCAATGGTACGGCATGTGCAAAGGCCCTGTGGCAGCGTACTCGGTGTGTTTGGAGTGGAGTGTGCAGAATGCGAACGTGAGAGGGATGAGGTTGGAGGAAGAGAGGCAGCAGCAGCAGCAGCCTGTGTCAGTCACGGATTCAGTAAATTGCCTTCATCTCCCTCGCGTTACTTCAGGTGAGGCAGAAGAGAGAGCCTCAATGAAATGTCCCTGGTTATCTGCCAGCGCTTTGACCTCATTCCATTAAGCGTTTCACTGTAGGCAGGCGTAGTCATTCGGTAGCTGATCCACGTGACTGTCTCCTGCACACTGTTTCTAGATGTTTTTATAGCCTGCCCACAGGTCTGTCAGAGAACTTGCCAGGAGGAGCCTTGCTGAGGACCAGATAAACTGTCTCTGGTTTCAGAGACCCCTGATCCAGGCTCTGCCAAAGAAGGAAACGAGGATGGTCTGCAACGATTTGTTCTCAGCAGACCCAGGCTGATTCCTAGTGGCCGCGTGTGTGTGTTCAGAACCAACCTTTACTCAGGATTTTAAATTGTAGTCAAGGTATTCGCAAATATGTAGCTGGTGAAGCCAGTCATTGCGTTTTTAGAATAAAAGTACAGCTGTTCGTCGTACAGCTCAGCAGTGCTATGCTGGGGACTTCCCGCCTGCTGTCCGCTGTGAGTTAATGTCATGCTAGGACCCCCTGTGGTGTGTTCTCATGCCGGTGGGCTGTCCAGCCCAGGGCCGTTTGCAGACCCCAGCACGGTGGCACAACACCTGTGCTGATGACCTGCAAGCCCCTCCTGCGCACGTGGTGAGTGCTCACACGACTCAAGTTCACCGTCTGATCGTCAAGGACCAGCCCAATGGAACGATGCGTATTGGAAGGTGAGGGGCAGAGGGACTGGCAGAGAGCCCCGGTGCCCTCCTCGGCTGTGCCGGCCTCTCACCAACCTGGAAGCTCCCTGGACTGTGTCTGAGGGTTTATGGAGTCCTTGTTAAGTAGCCGTGGTTGAGTAAGTCAGGGGTGGCTGGCGAGCGAGCCTGCCTTGGGGCCCTCGCCCCTCTCCTGGGGATGGGGTTAGAAGTTCCAACCTCTAACCACCTTGCCGGCCCTTCTGGCCACCAGTCTGCATCTTGAGACCATGGAGGGACCCACAGGAGTCAGCTCATTAGCACAAGCTCTGGTATGGCTGGGACAGGCTCGCCGTGAGTATTGAGAGGCCCTCTCGGCTCTCAGGAAAGCCCAGGAGGTGCAGGAGCTCTGGGCCAGGAACAGGGGACAGAAGCCAAGGAGATGTTTTATTACAGCTCTGATGCCGCAGCCCAACTGAAAGCTGATCTTTGAGATTAACAATCTGAAAATTAATGAATAATCTTTGCCTATTAGTTTCTCTAGAGTACTGCCAATTGGAGGAAGTGTTTGCTGTTTTAGAATTGGTTGCATCGTGCCTGTTAAAATGTAGGGTTTGGTTATAGAGGTGTGCACATCATTGGCGACATACATGCTTCATTTAGTCTATGTATCTGCAATGACGTGCTCTCAATAAAAATGATACAGCTGAGGTACTGTTTTGTGACCACGCAGGCCTGTGTGTGCGATCAGAGCAACCATAATAATCTCTTTATTTAGTACAGCACCAATTATGAATATTTACCTTGCTAGATGCTTTACATACTGCTTTTGTTTGTTTTGTGTATGTGTGGGGGGGTGGTTTGTGTGTGTTTTAAAAGATTTATTTATCTCATTTGAAAGGCAGAGTTGGGGCCAGCGCTATGGAGCAGTAGGTTAATGTTCTGCCTGTGGCGCCAGCATCCCATATGGGCACCGGTTCTAGTCTTGGCTGCTCTTCTTTCAATCCAGCTCTTCTATGGCCTGGGAAAGCAGTAGAAGATGGCCCAAGTGCTTGGGCCCCTGCACACATGTGGGAGACCTGGAAGAAGCTCCTGGCTTCTGCTTGGACCAGCCGATGGAAGACCTTTCTCTCTATCTCTCCTTTTCACTGTCTGTAACTCTACCTCTCAAATAAATGAATAATAATAATAATAATAATAAAAGGTAGAGTTATGGAGAGAGAGAGGGAGAGACAGAGGTCTTCCATCCACTGGTTCACTCCCCAAATGGCTGCACTAGCTGGAGCTGTGCCAGACTGAAGCTAGGAGCTTCCTCCAGGTTTCCTACATGAGTGCAGGGCCCAAGCACCCTGGCCATCTTCTCCGTTCCTTCCAGCAGCATTAACAGGGAGCTGGATCGGAAGTGCAGCAGCTGGGAATCAAATTGGCACCCATATGGGATGCTGGCTCGCAGGTGGTGGTTTAACCCTCTGCATCACAGTGTCAGCTCCTACATACTGCTTTAACAGTATGATAAGGAAGCTATGATTACCCCCTCCCCCAGTATATAAATTGAAAAGGAAATGAAGATCCCGAGAGTTTAAGGCCATCCAGTAGCAGAGTTGAGATTGGATCTGGGTGTCTGGGGCTCCCAGATCTGGGCTGTGTGCATTACGTCTGCTCCTTGTTTGCATACACACTGGGCTTCCTGCTTCAGATGGAGCGCAGCGGGTGAGTGATGGGTGGGATCTGCAGTAAACGGGAAGAGCGTCCCTTGACGAGCTGGCTGGCTGACAGGCCAGTTGTCAGGTTTGAATTTTAAAGTAAGGAGCTGACTATGTGGTTTCTGAGGTTCTCGTTGGGCTCTGAAACTGTGAAAACTGTACATAATGATATGAGCTGTTTTCATATTGACCAGTTGCGTTCAGTTTAAGAAGACAGTCAGTGTAAAACTCTGATTTTTAGCCTTTGGCCTTGTGATGCAACAGCAATGGGTTTGATCAGGGCTTCCTCTGTATTTCAGACAGATTACGAGGGACAAGCCAAGAAACTCCTGGAGTTGATGGAAAGTACAGATGTGATCATTGTCGCTGGAGGAGATGGGACCCTGCAGGAGGTATGGCTGTCTTTCTCTTTGCAGCACTTTGAAGGTGAGAAAGCTAGAAGTGAAAATTTAGAGCAGCAAGATAAAGTAGTTACAACTTACGGAAATGACCTCTTTCATTCTCTTAGGGTTGTTGCTCTGAGACTACAGCTGTCAGCTTTCCTTGTGTGCTTTTATTTCATTGCATTTTATAAACTCTCCATGCAGCACGCGGAGGGTTCATATGTTAATCAAATTTGAGTTTAATAAAACAGACAGAACGCTAGTGGGGGAATAAGCTTCTTATGTTTTGAGGATTCGTATAAAGTGGCCCTGCTTGTAATGGAATCATAGTTTTATTATGAAGATAATTTTTTTAAAGATTTTTTTAAAAAAATTATTTGAAAGGTAGAATTAGAGGGAGAGACAGAGACAGAGATCTTCCATTCGTTTGTTCATTCCCCAGATGGCTGCAATGGCCAGGGCTGGGCCAGGCTGAAGCCAGGAGTCCACATGGGTTTGGGACCCAAACGCTTGGGTCATCTTCCACTGCTTTCCCAGACACATTAGCAGGGAGCTGGATCAGAAGTGAAGCAGCCAGGTCCTGAACTGGCATGTGGGGTGCCAGCATCGCAGATGGCTGCTTAATCTTCTATGCCACAACACTGGCCCTGAGGAATATTTAGTAAAAATTAAGCTGAAGGGGCTGGTGCTGTGGCTTAGTAGGTTAACCTTCCACCTGCGGTGCCTGCTTCCCACATGGGTGCCCTAGTGCAGGCTGCTCCTCTTCTGATCCAACTCTGCTGTGGCCTGGGAAAGCAGTAGAAGATGGCCCCAGTGCCTGGGCCCCTGCACCCGTGTAGGAGACCTGGAGGAAGCTCCTGGCTCTTGGCTTCGGGTCCACTCAGCTCTGGCCATTGTGACCATTTGGGCAGTGAACCAGCGGATGGGAGATCTCTCTGTGTCTCTCCCTCTCTCTGTAACTGTGCCTTTCAAATAAATAAATAAATCTTTTAAAAAACTAAAAATTACTCGTAAGAAGATGGATTCGTCCATTCACACTTCGTTTCCATCATTTATCCTGTTATCACAGTGCGACATTAATAGGACGAGGTATGTAGGTGCAGAGTGTGCGTGCGTCTGCCTTTGTTTTAATGTTAGATAGCTTCAGTGAGGTAACACCACACAGCTACTAAGGTGGCCCAGAACCTGAACACTGACAGTATCAAGGGCTGGTCAGGCTGCTGGCCACAGTGCAGAACGGTGTAGACAATCCGGGACAGCTGGGTGGTTTGTTAAACTGAACGGATTTTACTGTGTCATCCAGCGAGCACGCTCGTTGATATTTACACAGAGGAGCTGAAAACCTGTATCCACACAAAGCCATACACATGGTTATTTGGGACATCTTTGGTCACAGTTGCCAACACTTGGAAACAACCGGCGTATCGTTGAGTGGTGAATAAGTCAAGTGTGGTACTTCCAGGCAGTGCCGTGGCACTCAGCACTGGGAAGGAAGGAGCTGTCTAGCCCTGGGAGGGTCGGGGGACCTGGTGCGTGTTTTAAGTGACAGAGAGGCTGATCTGGAAAGGCTGTACTGTGTGCGTCCAGCCTTTTGATGTTTGGGAGAGGGGAGGTGATGGGGACGATAGAGCGTGTTTGTTGTCGGGGGTCGGGGGTGGTGGATGGTCAGCACCCAGGGCTTCCGGGGCAGTGAGAACAGCCGCGAGGATACTGTAACAGGGGTGCGTGTCATCCTACATGTGTCAGAGCCCACAGACAGAGTGACACTTGAGTGAACTGTGGACTTTGGGGGCAGTGTGCCGGTGCAGGCTCATCAGGAGAGCAAGTGTGCGTCCACTCTGGTCAGGGACGCCAGCCGCGGGGGATCAGCCGTCTGTGGCCGCAGGGGGACAGGGAAAGTCGGTTTCCCTTCCTCCCAGTTCTGCTGTGAGCCTACCGTTGTTTTAAAAAATAAGTCTCACTATAAAGAAATGTTACACGCTCGAAAAGAGAAGTGTACTTACTGATTAAATATCACACGGTGTACACAGGTAATGAGACATAAATGTGCACAGTTTCCTGTTACACTTTTTAAAAAATAAGAAAGCAGTTGAATAACCATGGCATGTCCTTGCTGCTTTGGTCCACCGTTCCCTGCAGATGTCCCCTTCTCACGCTGACACGTGCTGTCGTGTGTTGGAAACCCCTGGAGAGCCCAGCGCAGGTGGCCTTGCCCGGTGCTCAGTTCCGGGTCCTGTGTCCCACAGTGCGCATCGGTGCCTCCCCTCTGCTGGCCTCCTGTCTCTGATGGTTTCACTGGTGTCCAGGGATCAGATGCCAGCAGCACACAGGGCACTGGCCTAAAAATTCTGGGAGCCCTACTCAGCTCCTTTTTAAAAAGCTGTGCTAATGACCTTGTAACTGTTTGTATGGCTTTGTAATGAAGTGTGAACAGTACTGATGACACGCCGGACAAGAATGAAGTGGACCACTTGGTCCCTCACTTAATCCTGGGATCCAGTGAGGCAGGAAAAGATGAGAGATCTGCATCAACCTCTACTTTATAGGATGTCCTTAAAGATACCAGATTATGTTTGAGGATACTTCCAAACGTTAGTGAAAAACAACTAAAAGATAAGTTTATTTTTATGTAAAAGAAGTTTGAAATTCTTGTATCTTTTTTTTCTAAAAGCATTTTTCATGAACTTTTTGGATATCCTGTAAATGCCTGGATTTTAAAATTCTCTACACCAAAATCAACTTCGTGTTTTTTAGAGTTAGATAGAAGGAGAGATCTTTTATCTGCTAGTTCACTTCCCAAATGGCTGCAATGGCCGGAGCTGGGCCAATTTGAAGCCAGGAGCTTCCTCCAGGTCTCCCATATGCGGGGACCAAATCCCTGGGCCATCCTCCACTGCCTTCCCAGGTACACCAGTAGGGAGCTGGATTGGAAGTGGAACAGCCGGGACACAAACTAGCCCCATATGAAATGCTGGTGTCGCAGGCCGTGGCTTTACCTGCTCCACCACAAAACCGGCCCCCAAAATAAACTTAATTCTATTGTCCATGGACTTTTTAAAGTAGCTTCATGTTTGGTAGAATTACAGTGATGTATTGCTTTATAAAAGAGGATTAGGGGCAAGGATTAGGGGCCGGTGCTGCGGCCCCTAATAGGCTAATAGGCTAATCAATAGGCTAATCCTCCGCCTGCGGCGCCAGCACACCAGATTCTAGTCCCGGTCGGGGCGCTGGATTCTGTCCCAGTTGCCCCTCTTCCAGGCCAGCTCTCTGCTGTGGCCTGGGAGTGCAGTGGAGGATGGCCCAAGTGCTTGGGCCCTGCACCCCATGGGAGACCGGGAGAAGCACCTGGCTCCTGCCTTTGGATCAGCGCGGTGCGCCGGCCGCAGCACACTGGGGCGGCCATTGGAGGGTGAACCAACAGCAAAAGGAAGACCTTTCTCTCTGTCTCTCTCTCACTGTCCACTCTGCCTGTCAAAAAAAAAAAAAAAAAGGATTAGGGAGAAATATTCCAAAATAAAAATAAGTGATTAATATAAGTTAACTGTAGTGGATTTATGGGAACTTAATTCTTCTTGTATTTTTTAGTTTTCATAAGAATACTATTCCCATTTTCCTGCTCAGAATAAGAAACGTTTATTTACTGAGTACAGACTTCTCTGAGTATAGCAAGGTGGGTTTGTTTTTTCCTGTGTGACTATTTCATAATGTAAACTAGGGTCTCTTATCTAATTGATATGTATTTCACATTTATATAGAGCCTAACATATAGATACCAGTAAGGTTATGTCACATAGAACTTAAAATACAACTTTAATAGTATGATGTAGAGTTTTTACAATTGTTGTGTCTTAGCCTTACTATTGATCATAAGTCGAGAATACAGTTTATTTTAGCTCTGACTGTAGTGGAGAATGCTGTCTGTTTTAAGATCTAATACATCATTTAAAAAACACTTCGTAAGAACTTATTGAGAGGCCAAGAGAGAGCTCCTGTCTAGTGGTTCGCACCCCACATACCAGCAGTGGCCATGTCTGGGCCAGGTCTCATGTGGGTGGTTGGAACCCAAACACCTGAGCCAGTGCCACTGCCTCCCAGGGTGCGCATCGACTGAACTGGGACCCGGAGTCCAGCGCAGGCACTCGGATATGGGGTTCGAACGTCTTAACCACTAGGCTAAACACCCATTCCCCAGTTCATCTTGTAACATGTTTCCAGGACCAAAACAAGGGTAAGTGTTTGGTCTGAAAATTGGGTCCATTTCCTTTGTGATGAAATACGTGTTTATAACTTTTTTATGTCTGCAGGTGGTTACTGGACTTCTTCGAAGAGCAGACGAGGTGAGCCGTGAAGAAAGTAGTTGTGCTGTAGCTTTTCCTCTTCTGTTCCTTCACCTCTCTCCTTCTGTTTCCTCCCGCCACCTCCCTGGTTACCTTTCACGGCAGGCAGAGTTGGGCTTTCTTGGATTTTAGGCCAGAAAGTACGGCTGCCTGCGTCATAAAGGTCTCCATTCGCTTTGGTAGTCCATCGTATCCAGGAGCTCTTACCAACTGTTGTTGGAACACAAAGTCTCCTGTGGACTCACGTGGGAATAGATTGTAGCCAGCCAGCAGTTGAAGGAATGATGATGCCTACAAACATCAAACACGGAGAAGGCAACTTTCTGATTTTCCACTTCTACACAGTTTTAAAATTGAGAAAACAGTACTGCAGATTGTTAAGGAATGTCTCACTCTGTAGTGAAAGAATAATAACCTAGGTGAAAAGGAGTTGCACCGATCTCAGGATTGGGGGAATAGGAATGAGTGGAACAAACTCCAGTTATATCTGTAATCATTTTATTTCTTGAAATGTCTGAAGCAAATTGGCCAGTGTTAACGTTTGTTAAATGTGGTTTGTGGGCCCATGGCGTTGGCAGTGTTACTTTGTGCGCTTCCTACAATAGTGTAAAATAGTTCAGAAGTCACAGAAAGAGCCTTCTGGCCCTTGGTGCTCCAGAGTCTTGAGGCCCCTTGCAGTCCCGTGGTGTTGTGGCCTTAATTAGCTGCTGTGCCTTCTGCTACCTGAACGTTCGCGTCGTCTAACGCACTCGCGCCTCGCTGGGCACTCTACACGTGGTAGGCCCTCCCAGTTGAACTTCATCTGCAACTGTGAAACACGGGGAACCGTGCGCAGTGGTCTCGTGTCTGCAAATCCTCGCTCTGTCGACCAGTTTTCCTTCCACTGCTTGTCAGTAGTGGGTACTGAAGCCTCCCTCTGAACTGTAGGCCGCTTGCTGCATCGATTGCTGCTCACTGCGTGTTGTTGGATTGCTGGGGTAGGGGTGGGGCAGGGAGCGGGGAGGCACAGCGGGCTCAGTGCTGTCGCGGCGGGCACACCTGCACATCGGTGTGAGGGCTCGCTTTGTGACCCTAACAGTACAACCTCCTCCTCTTCCCCCAGGCGACCTTCAGTAAGATCCCCATCGGATTCATCCCACTGGGGCAGACCAGCAGTTTGAGTCCCACCCTCTTTGCCAAGAGTGGAAACAAAGTCCAGTAGGTGTTCAGTGTGGAGTATTAGCATGTGTGGGTGAGCAGGCCCGGGAGTGAAAAATGCATGCATGCATGCATGTGTGTGTGTGTGCACGTGTATGTGTGTATGTATGTGTGTATGCACATGTGGGTGTTTATGTGCATGTGTATGTGTGCATGTGTGTATATGTGTGTGTACACGTGCGTGCACTTGAGTTCCCTGAAACTTTACATATTTGAGAGAAGGAACTGTGTCGGAGTTCCACCTCTCCGTTCCTTGGAAAACTTCTCAGAACTCTGATAATCTGGTAGGTCCAGGGCAGGTGTGGAGATGAGTACTTCAGGTCCTGTGTCCGCTGTGAATGCCGTATCCCTGAGCCAAGCTCTTTGTGCGTTTTCATAGTAAGATTCGTCAGGGGAGACGGATTTGCACTATTTGATTGCTTTGAATATACGTGGTGACAAGCAGCAAGCTCCTTGTAAAGACTAAACTGGTAGCCTTGGCTTCATTACCTTGATGTTGTGCTTGGCTAAAATAGTCCAGCCCTTGTGGGAATGCTGAAAGTGGTAGACAGTGTGGAAGAAGCGGACAGAGAAGGTGGTGTAGCTCTGATGGTAAATGAAATCGCCGTGAGTCTAACAATGCCGGCCGAGTTCCTGCCACTGTTCTCCGTTCTTAAAAGCACTGGGTGGGTGCACTGAGCTCCAGTTTTTCAGGAGGGTAGGGATCTTGAATTAGATACTGGCTCTCACGCTGGTCAGTATGCAGTCCTGGGCAGATCTGAATGGTCCCCGCTAGGAAGGTGTCTGAGGGAGCAGGTGCATCGTTCCTGTACGCCGTGAGACGCTGGAGGTGGTCAGGAGTGAACAGTGGTTGAATGAATCTGTTTTCTTTTCCTGATTATAGCCTATAAATGCCTATATTTTAGTTATGCTGTGGAATTCCTTGATTGGGTTAATTTTGTGACCTCGTTTTTCTTTTGATTTTTGGAGTCAGTTGTTATTTTTGACAGGTCTGTATTTTTCATATAAGCCGTGGTCCATATATCAAATACTAGGCATGCACGTAAGACGTTTATCAGACCTTCATTCAAACTCCTCTTATACTTAAGCTTTAATTTATCTACTCACCAACCATCCTGAGGCCTAACAGGAGAGATCATTTCAGCTAACCATACTTTTTATTTTTAGTTTAGAATTTTTGAGCAGCTATATATAATGACAATGAATTACTGAAATATTTGTGCTTATCTGAGATAAATGGTCCCTGGTTTGGCTTTTGGTTACATTAGAGAGCTTATTTTTCCCTTGGGTCAGTATAGATTATTTGAACTGCTTTAGTGAACATTTTCAGAAACAAATGTCAGTAATCAGAGAGATACCATTTTCCCTGGAGAATCCCTTGCCTGTCCAAAAGCCAACTTGTGTGCAGTGCAGCAACTGCGAGAGCCAGAGATAGCATTCGGTTTTAGGGGAGGTGGTTTCCCCTGTAATTAAACTGCTGTAGTTGCTGCTTCTATTGATAATTTAAAGATTTCTGAAACAATTTATAAACATGCCACAGGGCTCTTAGGTAATTGAGTAAGCCTACCGTGGGTTCAGATTTTCTGTAGACTTCTTAACGCTGCAGGTGCCTAAGGCTGTTTACAAAGAACTAGGCTTTGCTCTTTGTACTGCTGTCAAGATTGTCGGACCATAATTACTACAAAGGAAGAAAGAAGCCTGCATTTGGAGTGTTGGGGGTAAATAATCCTTAAAGTGCTGTTCGCTGCTCCATGTGGCTTTACTAACAGCTGTAAGTTACTGCCGGAGAGTGATAAGTCTGAAGTTTTGTTTTGGTTGTCTTCTGCTAAGCAATCTAGAAAAAAACTAACATAAAGAGAGTTTTCGAGTTGTGGTTTTCTTTTTCTAAGACCCGTCTTTCAAAGGCACTTACTAGACGTCTTGCTGTGCTGTCTACTCTGCAGGATGAGCCGGGCCTACGGATCCTTTCAGAAGGAACCTGTTCATACATACAAAGTTCATCTAAACTGAATCTCCTTTTTAACTGCTTCCTACTTCCCAGGCAGCATTTGTATTAGAGGAAAACAATGCATGCAAATTTGTTGATAGAGAAACAAAGAAAGTATAACAGTTTGAACGTGCTGACAGAGCGAGTGTGAGAACCGAGAACTTGGGCGTTTGAGTGGCGTGTGTGTTGTGGGGATTTTAGTTTCTGAAGTTCTGCCTGCCTGGTTCACTGGCTCGGTGTTTACATGTTAAGCCTGGCCACACTGATGGCGGAGGGCCTGAGGACGACACAGCTTTTAGATGCGGCATCTCCTTTTGGGACTCCGTCGACACCCATTTGATGTGGCCGCAGCAGCCTCACGTGAAGAGAGCCCCTCTTTGGAGTTAGACCGAAAGTCGAATTTCACTCTGCCCCATGCTCGCTCTGTCACTGTGGGGATTTAATTGAATCTCTGTGAACCTCACTTTCCTTGGCTGTGTTTATCAAATACACGATAGCAGTTCCTTTGAAAACTGACAATGCTAAGCGTCAGGACTGCTGGGCGTCCGTAGTTAGCACGGTGAGGGGCCTCACATTGAAGACTTCAGTTAGAAGGAACAGAAGCTGATGGTGCACAGATGAACTGTACCTTTCCTGATTCCAAATTTTGTAATTAAATGTAAACAAAACCAGAGAAGTTTCCATTCTACTGATAACTGATTCACCTAGAAAAGGTTTTCAAGAACATTTTATAGACATTCGAGTCAGGTGCCATGGAAAGACGACTTTTTCTCCCAAAGATACAGTATTGACTCGACCTGCACATCTTCTTTGAATGGAAATTACATAATTTCTAAATAACTCATATCTTATAGTATAAATTAAAGTCCAGACAGAATATTTACTTTCATTTCATTAATACAAATTTTCCTAAAATAATTATATAATGACAGTAAAGGTGGTGGAATAACAACATTGCTGAATATAAGAAACATTTGAAATATTTAAGGATAAATCTAACAAAATGTGTAAGATTTTTATGCTGAAAATGTAGAACTTGAAGGAGAGAATTCAAGAAGACCAAAATAAAGGTATTATCTGTGTTCCTGGATTGTAAGACTCAACACTGAGCTGTCAGTTCTCCAAATTGACCTATAAAGTCAGCACAACCCTAATCAGGTTTCCAGAAGGATTTTTGGTACGAATTGACAGATTGATTCCAAGATTTATGTAGAAAAATAGATTAGAATAGCCAAAAGAATTTTGAAATAGAAGCAGTTTGAGAGCTCATCAACTTACCCTGTTCTACCCTCTAAAGCTGTAGGGATTGAGGTAGTGTGGTGTTGACAAAAGAGACATAAAGATGCATGGAAGAAAAAGTCCAGAATTAGGCCCACACAAGTATGGGCAGCTGGTTTTTCAACAAAGGTGCCAAGGTAGTTCAGTGGAAAAAAGACAGTTTTTTCAAGAAGTGCTTGTGGGACAGTTGGACAACCGTATACAAAGAGAATAACCTTCGGCCTGTCCATCATATTATATATAAAAATTAACATGAAATGGTTCATAGACCCTATCTTTAAATCCTATAATGGTAAAGCTTCTAAAAGAAAACCTTCAGTTAATAGGTAAATGCAAATTGAAATAAATCCATGAAATGCCACTACACATCTATTAGAATTGTTTATACAAAACAAAACCAAAAATCAACCACCAAAACCTGGAGTGCTAAGTATACGCAGCAATTTAAGCTCAATTGAAGGTACTTCAAAAAGTTTGTGGAAAAATGGGATTAAGTGTATTCCTGGTACAAAAAAATTTTTGGAACCCATGCCTAGTTTTTTCATAGTACCATTTTCCATGAACGTTTTGAAGACCCGTTATTGATTTGCGGGTGTGAATGCAAAATGGTATAGCCACTATGGAAGAAAAGTTGACCGTTTCTTACACAATTAAACACATACTTGCCTTATGCACACCAGTGACATTTCTATATGTTTCCCCAAAAGAAATGAAAATGTCCATTTAAAAATCTATATATGAATATTTATAGTAGCTTCATTCCTAACTGCCAAAATCTTGGAACACTGCCAATCATCTGTTGACAAATTCATCAACACAAACAAATCTCAAACTCACACTAACAGAAAAAACTTGAATTTCTTGATTCTGATGTCTGACATTCTGGAAAAGTCAAACCAGGAGCTGCTGGTCGGGGCGAAGGATTGGCTACAGGGCGTCTGCACTGTTGGAAATGTTCTCTGTCTTGGTCATGGTGGCGGCTGCGTGACCGCGTGTGTTTGTCAAAGCGTGTGCAGCAGTGTGCTTCAGGGTGAATTTTACCGAGCGTAGGTGGTACCTCCCCAGGGCTGACGTTAGAGGTCATGTGAGGAGCTTGGAAGCAGCCACTCTGCCTAACGCCAAGTAAAAGCTGAGCAACACTGAAAACAGCACTGCTCTGGGACCTGAAGGGGGGACAGGTTCAGGGCGGACAGCTGCCCTCAGGACTGGAGGCCGGCAGGAGCCATGATTTGGTGGAGACTAATGGCAGAAGCCGCCGTGGGAAAGCCTGAACAGAGCCTGGCAAACGCTGGACATCAGAACAGTCGACTCTGACAATTAGACCTGCAGGGGGACCCCGCTGTTGTGAAATTTGCCTTCAGAAGCTCTCTCAGGACCCTGCAGTGACTATCAGAAACCTCATGCTTTTCACATGGGGAAGGGGAAGGAGAAGGGGAAGGGGAAGGGGAAGGAGCCATTTGAAATACGCCAGAGCAGATTGGTTTTCAGAGCCTACTCTCAGGAGAAACAGGTTGACCAGAGGCTGACCTAGTGGAGCGTTTTCAGGGCTTACTGAAGCTGGGTGAAGGAAAATACCTGACTCCAGTCAGTTCTAGCCATCCTGTCGCACCTAAGGAGGGGGAAAAAGGAATTAAACTAGAAAGGTAACTGGAAAAATCTCCAAATCCGTTGAGGTTACACAACATGCTTCTAAGTGACACATAGATCAAAGGAGAAATGAAATTGCAAACAGGAAATCAGTAGGAAAAAAAAGCAAACCCAATGCTAATTATTTGAAAAGATTGATGGAATCTGTAGCCAAGCTAAGAGAAAAAAGACACAGATTCTCAGTACTGGTAATGAAAGAGGACATCACTACAGATCTTACAGAAATTTAAAAGGATGATAAAGAATAGGAAGGACAACTCTGCCCACAAATTCCTGGAAAGACGTAATTGTCCCAAACCCACACGAGAAGTGGGCAGCAGGTGAATGTACTAATAAACTGTGGTGTGTGCAGACTCTGGAATATGATTGAGCAGTGAACAGAAACGAGCCGTCAAGTCTGAAAATGCCTGGAGGAACAACCTCAGTGCCTCTCACTGAGTGAAAGAAGGCTCTCTGGAGAGGCTGCATCCTGTGATGGAGCCAGGAGACAGGATTCTGACGACCTGAGAGAGCATCCTGTAGGATCAGCGGGGGATGCACTGCACCCCTGCAGAACGTCCAATACCAAGAGTGGCCCTGGAGGCAAGGGTGAGTTTAGGGTGATAGTGAGGGGTTAAGGTAGGTTCCTCGTTGTAGCAAACGTACCAGCCACTCTGGCGGGAGATGCTGTCCGTGTGTTGGAGCAGGAGAAATGTGGGAGTCTATGCACTTTCCTCTTAGTTTGCTAAGAGAGCCTAAAACTTCTCTAAAGAAGTAAAGTCCAAAAAATAAGTTAAAAAATTAGTTTTTTCAAACTGAAGTAATTTGCCTTCTTAGTGTTAAGAAAGAACTATTAATTTCTTCTCAGTTTGGTTAACATCAACGTGGACTTTATGTGGCTACCCTTTGTTATAGTTCATTTCAATTATGTATTAACCCTTGTAGTCCATTATTAAAGTTCATTCATATGGGATAATTTGAGTATTAGGCTAATAACTATATTACATTAAAACATCAAGTGTATATTTAAATCTTTGAGCTGGTAAGGCTAAGAAAATAAAAGTGAGAAACTGGTGACTTTGGGATGATGGTAGGGAATCGGCTTATTTTGAACACTGGTTAAAATGAATTTATCCTGACATTCTTGTGTGACCTCTTCTTTAGGGTATCCAAATTAAGGATGGATGCAGAGACTCTTTGTAAGCCAGATGAGAAATTAGAAGGGGTAGCAGAATTGAAAGGTCACTGGTTAGTAACTGTTAATACGTGTAGGTAGTGATTTTCAGAGCTTGCCACAGTCGTGAGAATCAGCCAGGTAGTGTCTGAGCTGGCGCACCACCACGTATGGGGAGTGTTTTTCCCAAAACTCAAGAAGCCAAACCGGATGCACGTTTTCTATCCTAGGTACAAATTTTCAGAAAACACAAGAAATGTAGATATGTTAATATTATGGGATGCAGTCAGTAAAATCCAGACCCTCATATACTTAATAAAACAACCCATCTCTTCAAGTAGGAAAAAGTAAAGGAGAGAAAATGAACCTATGGGCTTCAAGAGACTTGAGACATATGAACTAAGTGCAGTAGATACATCTTTTTTGGATCTGCTTTGAACATATGAGTTCCTTGATTAAATGTAACCATTGACTAAATATCTGCTGCTATGAAGGATTTTTACTGTTTGAGGTGTGATAGTGACAACTTATGTTATTTTTAAGTCTGTCTTTTGAAACACAATGAACTATTTATGGGTGAAGGGTATCCAGGATTTACTGCGGTTGACACGGGATGGGGTGATACATAGGGAAAATGAAAGGAGATAAGCTTGGTCATGAGTTGGTAATTGTTGAGGAGTTCATGTTACTGGGCTCTGTGCTGTTTTATAGACTTGAAATTCTACAGCATATAGTCATCCAGCAAATAATTGAGAGCCTACTGTGTGCCGTGCACTGCTAGACTTAATTATATTTTGTTTGATAATTAGATGTAAATTATCACTAGCCTGGTGGAAATTTTGTTGTCCAGAAGGAGGCAGATAAAAAAGTAAAGAACCATAAACTGTGACGCACTGTGAAGAGAAAGTGATAGTTCCCTGGTAGAAAGTTAGAGAAGGGCCCAGGTCTGGGCTTGCTGGTGTGGGCCTCTGAAGGCACACAGGTGGTAGACTTGCAGGCAGGGGTTGGGGAGAGGACGTGGTCCTGTGGGTCTGCTGCTCGTCGCGGCTGTGAGAGAGGGTGTCTTCAGCCACGTCTGATGTGTTTCTGTTGTTGACAGCATTGCGGATTTGTGTGTCTAAGTTTGAACAAGCATGAACTCCAGAATTGAGTAGTTAACACACTGTGAATGGGTGTCAGTAGTAATGTGTTTTGATTCATCGTTACCTATAGATTCTTAAATGGCTATCCAGGTACAAATAAGAACACATTTTTGTCTTTGAATAACAGAATCATCAGTTAAAATGAAGCCTACTTCCTGGTAATCTTGGAAAATAAGGGAAATGTATTTTGGGTTCTGGGTTATATTTTGCTAAGAAAACTACAACAAATCCTGTCATTAGCTACCCTTCTGGCTGTTAGGGTAAAAAGAAATACTGTTTTTAGAAGTATGTCAGGTTCTAAAAATGAATAGAAGATTTTTTTATTCATTTAAGAGTCATATTTTCCAGTGTTAAATATGCAGGCACAATGTGGAGACCCAGCAGATGTTAAATAAGTAAGTGATATCTTGTATGAGCTTCTCCTCGCCAAGGCCTGCTCTCTCTGAGCCCCAGTCAGAGCCTTCTACTCTAGTTGTGCCCACTAAGTTTGCAGTTTTTGAAAATATTCCCTTCCTGACAGGGCAAGAGGGTGTGTGTGTGTGTGTGTGTGTGTGTGTGTGTCTATGGCTAGGTGTGTGTCTGCATGTGCATGTGTGTGTCTATGGCCAGGTGTGTGAGCGTGTGTGTGTACATGTCTATGGCCAGGTATGTGTGTGTGTCTATGGCCAGGTGTGTGTGTGAGTGTGAGCGTGTCTATGGTCAGGTGTGTGTCTGTATGTGCATGTGTGTCTATGGCCAGGTGTGTGAGTGTGTGCATGTCTGTGGCCAGGGGAGGTGTGGCTTGGTTTTCACAGCACCTGCTTTCCTTCCCGTTCTCTTTCAGACATATCACAGATGCCACGCTTGCGATTGTGAAAGGAGAGACAGTCCCACTTGATGTGTTACAAATCAAGGTAAAGTCTTCAGATTCTCAACAATTATCGAAGTGATACATAGATACTATTAAAGAAATATGGCAGTTGGAATTAAAGTGAAAACAGTCCACTTTCCCTTCCCATTCCAAGTCTTACCCCCAGGAAAAACTACTTTCCCTGGTAATTCTGGTTGCTACAACTAATTTACTAGTGTTACTGCTTTTTTAAAAAGTGGAAAAACATAAATCAGAACCACCACGTTAACCATCTGAGGTGTGTGATGCATTACTGTGGAGCCAAGAACGCTGTTTCTTGGTTTACCAGTTCCAGACTTTGATCCTGTGACTTCTTGATTGAGTGAAGATACTTGAAAAAGTTCATGGAAAATGTGTATTAAGAAAATGTATAGCCAGCGCCGCGGCTCACTAGGCTAATCCTCCGCCTTGCGGTGCCGGCACACCGGGTTCTAGTCCCGGTCGGGGCGCTGGATTCTGTCCCGGTTGCCCCTCTTCCAGGCCAGCTCTCTGCTGTGGCCCGGAAGTGCAGTGGAGGATGGCCCAAGTGCTTGGGCCCTGCACCCCATGGGAGACCAGGAGAAGCACCTGGCACCTGCCATCAGATCAGCGCAGTGTGCCGGCTGCATTGCGCCGGCCGTGGCAGCCATTGGGGGGGTGAACCAACAGCAAAAGGAAGACCTTTCTCTCTGTCTCTCTCTCTCTCTCACTGTCCACTCTGCCTGTCAAAAAAAAAAAAAAAAAAAGTATGAATTGGCTCAAATTTTTTGCTACCGAAATCTTTTAATTCCATTTGAACCAAAATGAACTTTTAATTTTCCCACAGTTTTTGTAATACTCTCGTAGGTAAGAATTCCTCTGCATCTCCTCCAGTCTGTTCACTGTTTTTGGTTCCTCTATGGGTTGCCTTTGAACTGTGAGGCGCTATCTGCCGCGGTGGCTGCTTTGAGCAGTGGCAGAGCTGAATAAATGCAGACCTGGGCGGTGACCGATTTCCTCTTCGCCCCTGCTGCCTCCGAGCTGGGACCTTTCCGTGCAGCCTGTCTTCCCGGAGTGCGGGTCGCTTGGTTGTCTGGTACCATCGGCTCTCTGACAAGCTTAAGAGAATTACGCTTTTGTGGATTTTCTGGCGTTTTTTTTTTTTTTTTTTTTTTTTTTTTTTTGACAGAGTGGACAGTGAGAGAGAGACAGAGACAAAGGTCTTCCTTTGCCGTTGGTTCACCCTCCAATGGCCACCGTGGCCGGTGCGCTGCGGCCGGTGCACCACGCTGATCAGATGCCAGGAGCCAGGTGCTTCTCCTGGTCTCCCATGGGGTGCAGGGCCCAAGCACTTGGGCCATCCTCCACTGCACTCCCTGGCCACAGCAGAGAGCTGGCCTGGAAGAGGGGCAACTGGGACAGAATCCGGCGCCCCGACCAGGACTAGAACCCGGTGTGCTGGCGCTGCTAGGCGGAGGATTAGCCTAGTGAGCCACGGCGCCGGTGATTTTCTGGCTTTTTTAAAATATTTATTTATTTGTTTTACCTTTTTAAAATGGGAATGCTGTTCACGTAGCTTCTTCCATCCTGGGTGGGAACAGAGCTTCTGTTTTTCTGGTAGGCTGTCCAGTGTTTACTTGCTGACTTGTTGATGAACTCATGAATGGTTTCAGAAGTATACTTAGTATTCACTGATTATGCTCACTGAAGGCGGTCGGAGGCAGTAAGGCCCAAGAGCAGTGAGCATGCGCATCTGTACCGTTCATTCCTGAGAAAAATAACCGGGACGCCGTGAGGGGACGGCTTTCAGAGGCAGGGCAAGAACAAGGCAAAGAGGGGCCAGCGCTGTGGCATAGTCGGCTAAGCCTTTGCTTGCGGTGCCGGCATCCTCTATGGGCGCTTGTTGGAGTCCTGGCTGCACCACTTTGGGTCCAGCTCCCTGCCATGGCCTGGGAAATCAGCAGAAGATGGCCCAAGTGCTTGGGTCCCTGCACCTGCATGGGAGACCCAGAAGAAACTCCTGGCTTCAAATTGGCCCAACTCTGGCCGTTGGGGCCATATTAGAAGTGAACCAGTGGGTGGAAGACCTTTCTCTCTGTCTCTACCTCTTAGATAGATAGATAGATAGACAGACAGACCTTTTCTCTCTGTCTCTACCTCTTAGATAGATAGATAGACAGACAGACAGACAGACCTTTTCTCTCTGTCTCTACCTCTTAGATAGATAGATAGATAGATAGACCTTTTCTCTCTGTCTCTACCTCTTAGATAGATAGATCGATCGATCGATCGATCGATCGATTTTTTAAAAAGGTGAAGAAGTACTCACAAACCTATGGGCATCACAGAGGCGTAGGAGCCAGCCCAGTGGTGTCCTACTCACTGATGTTAGGAGTTTGAATGTCAGAAAGAATAATGTGGTGGTTATAATGCCATGAATAAAAATAAAGGATCCCTGACCCCCGGTAACTTCTTCACAGGTTTAGCAGTGCTGCAGAACTTACACACACGCACAGACGGTCACTCTCAGGCAGTGTTGGGAACCTATGTGAAGGGTACAAATGCTCAGTGTACTCTTCAAGTATGTTTGATTTGTCCAGTAACCATTCCAATTCTTGATCAGAATCTTCTCTTTAAAAAATTTTATTCATAAAAAAAAAACACTTATTTGGCCGGCGCTGTGGCTCACTAGGCTAATCCTCTGCCTGCAGCGCCGGCACCCCGGGTTCTAGTTCCGGTCGGAGCACCGGATTCTGTCCCGGTTGCTCCTCTTCCAGTCCAGCTCTCTGCTGTGGCCCGGGAGGGCAGTGGAGGATGACCCAAGTGCTTGGGCCCTGCACCCCATGGGAGACCAGGAGGAAGCACCTGGCTCCTGGCTTTGGATCAGCGTGTGGTGTGCCGCCCACAGCGGCCATTGGGGGGTGAACCAACAGCAAAAGGAAGACCTTTCTCTCTGTCTCTCTCTCTCTCGCTGTCCACTCTGCCTGCCTGTCAAAAAAAAAAAAAAAAAAAAAAAAAAAAACAAGAAAACAAAACAAAAAAACCACTTATTCATGTAAATTCACCCCCAGCCCCCAGAAAGACCAAATTCCTAAGTAGGCAGATCCATGAAGTTAAATAATCCTATGGATGTTGAGCCCTGTGTACTCTGCTCATATTTCTTATATTTCCGAGAGGAGTCCCCCCACCTTGTCATCATTCCAGACTTGGGTCCTGGAAGGTCTTGTGTATAGAGTTTGCTTTGAGCATATTCCCAGCTGGTGAACCCAGGAGCCCACAACCTACTTGCCTTTTATGTTCCTTTTTTCTTCATGCAGCAATGTCAGAACTGTCCATCACAACCTCCCTGGTCATGACAAAGTGATTTAATTTCTATTTGATCTTTTAGTATATAATAAAATTGTCCTCAAAAAATGGTACGGCTATGCTGAAAGATGTTCCAGCCTACGAAAGGTGTTATAGATGCTTATCTATGAAAATATTATTTTAAAATATTACCAAAGGAAAGCGGTCAGGATAAGTATCTTAGTAATGGAGTGACTTGCTGTTTCTTATACATACCTGAATTTAACTGGAATATCTTGCCTTGCTTATATTTAAATCTCTTGTCTCTCTCTTTCCTTCAAATATACTGACTTGGTGAACTGATGAAACCAGGGTTAAATTTACTACAGGCTCCGTATTTTCATGACAGCCCAGGAAACAAAGCTTTGAATCCATTCCTAGAAAATGTGGCGCGGCAGCCTCTAGTTTGGTCTCTGAGGAACCCAGCTAAGTCGAATTCTTGCTCTTTTTCCCCCTCTTTCTGGAAATTGCTTTCAGACATGGAGAAAAGCATTGTAAGCCCAGGCCTGATGCTGCATCCTTCACCTTGTGAACGATAGCCCCAACCCCATTGAACTGTAACACGAGATTCTCCAAAGAGAAGAGAAATTGTAACAGTGCCGTATGCTTAGCTTTTACACTGACCAGTGGTCACACCTCCAGCTCTGTATGTCAGCAGGAATATTTTGCCCTCGTAAATAGAAGACATCTGGTGATATGAGTAATTGTCCCGGAGACCGAACTAGGATCTAGGTTTACTGCCTCAGTCCGTTGCATTTTGCACTTCACGCCTTGTCAGGTGGTGTAACAGGTGGCACCATCCTGTGACTTTGAAAGAGCAGTTCTTCCAACAGAAATATCTGCACTGCCTAAGAGCTGGCTGTAAAGAAACTGCCAGAACAGGTTCAGAAATGTTTTCAACTTTTTTTTTAAATCAGATGTTTAGATGCTGCCAACCCACAGCCAAAGGGCCTATGCCAGAGAGGGGGTTGTGGGGGCTGGAGTATCTCCCTCTCCCCTGTCGTTCCTGGCTAGCTCCGTGGTTTCTGTTTTTTCAGACCCTGGCTTTAACCATTCTCTTCAGAGGTGCTTGGAGCCCCTTGAGAATTCCTTCTACCTCCTTCTTTTCTCTTGATCCCGGATCCCTGAAATTCCTAGAGGAGGCAGAAATTGTCTTCCTGTCCTTCAGTCTTTGCGTGGTATTCCAGCCAGCTCCTTCTGACTGTGTGCCTGTTTTGTTTTTTCTTTTTTCTTAAATTTTATTTAAGTTACACAAGTTTCATGTATTTCATCAGTACAGACTGTGTTTGTCGATTGACCTATTCATCTCATCATCTGATACCTGCCAGGACCTGATGTTTTGTCTCTTGGCTCCCCCTGTGTCCATCTGGCCTTGCTTGCCTTCACTGTGCTCGTGCGTACTCAACAGAAGGGACCGGTCTCTATCACTCACTTGCATTTCACGTCTGAACGGCGACAGCCATGCTCAAGTCACTGTCTGAAGATACACAGGTCGTGTGTGTCTGGGTGCTCACTTACTGTCCAGAGCCGTTCTTACCCTCCTCAGTGAAACCTTGGGGTTACAGGCTTTTCCCTCAACCCTAACAGGAAACCCCTGAAACACTTCTCCCAGACGAAGAAAGCAAACAGTGTTTGTTGTTGTTGTTGTTGTTTTCTTTGACAGGCAGAGTTAGACAGCGAGAGAGAGAGAGAAAGGTCTTTCTTCCGTTGGTTCACCCCCCAAATGGCCGCTATGGCCGGCGCACCGCACTGATCCGATGGCAGGAGCCAGGTACTTCATCCTGGTCTCCCATGCAGGTGCAGGGCCCAAGCACTTGGGCCATCCTCCACTGCACTCCCGGGCCACAGCAGAGAGCTGGACTGGAAGAGGGGCAACCGGGACAGAATCCGGCGCCCCAGCTGGGACTTAGAACCCGGGGTGCCAGCGATGCAGGCGGAGGATTAGCCAAGTGAGCCGCGATACCGGCCTGAAAGCAAACAGTGTTAGAGCTGTCAGCAGGTCTTGCCCGTAGCACACAATTCAGAACATCGTTTCTCAAGGAGCCGTAGTTGTGCTGAAGGGTCCTCCGGGGGGGCTGGCCCATTAGCTCAGGACCGCTTCTTTAAAAAAAATTATTTGAAAGGCAGAGAGAGAGGGAGGGAAGGAGAGGAGAGGAGATCTTCCATCCACTGGTTCACTCCCCAAATGATCACAGCAGCTGGGGCCGGGCCAGCTGAAGCCAGGAGCTTCCTCCGGGTCTCCTACATGGATGCAGAGGCCCACACGGTTGGGCCATCTTCCTCTGTTTTCCAGGCACATGAGCAAAGAGCTGGATTGGAGCAGCTGGGACATGAACCAAAACTCATAAGGGATGCCAGTGTCCTGGGTGGTGGCTTAACCCTCTGTGCCACAACACCAAACCCAGGAAAACTTATGTCTCTCTCCCTGTAGAATTTATAATGCACACTGACATATTAAAGACCTCAGTTTCTGTCAAGATAACTTGTTTCCAATTGGATAGCTTTGGTGTTTGCTAGCTAATTTCACCATGGCATCCTCTGTGGTACCTTCTGGAGTGCTTGTTAAAGTGCCTTAACCTTGAAATGTTCGTCCAGGGACACAAAGTTGCAGTCAGACAGGAAGGGTAAGCTTTGGGTCTGACTCACAATAATAAAAACATTTTAGCACAGCTAAAATTGCATTTCAAAATTCTCACCACAAAAAAATAAGGGAGTTGGTGGATATGTTAATTGGCTTGATATAATAACTTTGCATCGTGTATGTACATGAGGTCATCACATTGAATCCCGTAAATGCCAGTTAAGATAATGAAAGCAAACAGGTTTATGCTTCGTGCTGCCATGTGCAGTGCTTGCCCTGACCCGTCGTCCGTCACTGTCAGTACCGCGTCAGCTCTCAGTAACCGGCAGTCACCCCTCGCTCCGTGTCTGAACTGTTTGATTCCATCCTCCCCGCCCACCGCCTGCTGTTCCTAGCTCCTCTGTCAGTGCAGAGGAGGAGACTAAAGGAGAAGCTTCTACTTACCAAGTGCTCTCTCGCTCTTCCGGGTTCGTGGCGATTGTTGGGTGCCTCCCATGACGTAGTTGTCTGGTGTCGGAAGCCTTTCCTGGCTTCACCTCTAAGTTCCCAGGTTCGGTACCCTCGGTCCCTGGTGCAGATTCTGAGACGAGGCTGTCAGATGGCTCAGAGTCTGTTGCGTCTGCAGTGTCCACTTGGCGCAGGGAGGCAGAAGAGTCCTGGCCGTGCAGCCAGTGAGTTCCTCACACCCGTCTCCACGCTGCCCTCGAGTTCCTTCCTCCTCGCAGCGAGCAGAAAGGCACATCTGTGCAGGCAGATGCCCAACACTGGGACAAGAGGCCAGCATCTTTTTTTTTTTTTTTTTAAGTGTTGTTTTATTTATTTGAAAGAGATACAGGGAGAAGTAGAGACAGAGGTCTTCCATCTGCTGATTCACTCCCCAAATGGCTGCAACAACCAGAGCTGAGCTGAGCTGAAACCAGGAGCCTGGAGTTTCTTCCGGGTCCGTGTAGGTGCAGGATCCCAGGCACTTGGGCCACCCTCTGCTGCTTTCCCAGGCACATTAGCAGGGAGCTGGATCGGAAGTGGAGCAGCTGGGACTCGAACTGGCTCCCATATGGGATGCCGGCGCTGCAGGTTGGGGCCTTAACCCACTGTGCCACAGCACCTGCCCCAAGAGAGGCCAGCATCTTGTAGGTTTTCCTGTTCATGATTCTCCCTCACTTGGCTTTGGCAGAGTTGGAATGGGAGTACAGTGGAGTTGGAGGGCTGCACCCCCTTCCCTAAGGAGAAGGCGTAGAGTACTTCTCTTCCAGTGCCCAGGATTCTCATCAGTTCTTAATTTTCTGCTTATACTGGTTGTGGTGGGGCGATGACTTGGTTCTAGAAATTAAAAATGAGAGTGAGACAAAGAGTGCCCATCCACTGGTTTGCTACCCAAATGCCAGTGGCAGCCAGCACAGAGGGGACACTGGGGCCAGAACCTGGGAATGCAATCCAGGTCTCCCATGTGGGAGGCAGGAACCCAGGCACTCTGCTGTATTACTAGTTTTTTTGTTTGTTTGTTTTTTTGACAGGCAGAGTGGACAGTGAGAGAGAGACAGAGAGAAAGGTCTTCCTTTGCCGTTGGTTCACCCTCCAATGGCCGCCGCGGCCGGCGCGCTGCGGCCAGCGCACCATGCTGATCCGATGGCAGGAGCCAGGTACTTGTCCTGGTCTCCCATGGGGTGCAGGGCCCAAGCACTTGGGCCATCCTCCACTGCACTCCCTGGCCACAGCAGAGAGCTGGCCTGGAAGAGGGGCAACCGGGACAGAATCTGGCGCCCTGACCGGGACTAGAACCCGGTGTGCTGGCGCTGCAAGGCGGAGGATTAGCCTAGTGAGGCACGGCGCCGGCCCTCTGCTGTATTACTTGTATCTAAGTATTACTTGTACTTAACTTCCTTAAGGAAGGTTGCTTATGGAGTCCAAACTCTTAAACTCTGTAAACTTCATTGTTATGAATTGCTTAATTCACGATTTGCTGGAAACTTGCTGATTGGGATATGCAGTGTTTGACCACAAAGCTTTGGGCTAAATTCACCTCGGTTTTTTTATGGTGTGCTGTGAAATACTTGACTGAATTTTCAGATGTTCGAGTGCAATATTCTGAAGTATCAGGACTTGAGGGCTCTGGCCTTCCAAAAAGAACGCTGCTTAAATCATCTTCGTGCTGGACAAGTATGAGGCACTTGAAAAAGTTCATGGGAAAGTGGAATAAAAGATGCTTGTGTGAGGAGAGGAGTGGCTGCTGACCGAGCGCTCCCTGAGTGACGGTCTGCGGGTGGCAGTGTGTCCCCTCGCAGCAGGTTCAGGAGCTAATAAAGAACAACTTCTTGCATGGCTTCTTCATGTCCTCCTGCTGGGCACTCACAAGGTTCATTTCTTCAAAGTTGGAACGTGCCTTGTAGAGTTCGGGTCTGATAGAAAGCAGGCCGTGAGCGTTTGCTGGTGCCTGCCCATAGAGAGTTGCCAGTTGCCGTACTTGTTAATCTAAATGAAGTGCATTTAACTTCCAGGGTGAAAAGGAACAGCCTGTGTTTGCGATGACTGGCCTGCGCTGGGGATCCTTCAGAGATGCCGCTGTCAAAGTTAGCAAGTAAAGAACGACCATCCCGATGTGTGACTGTCTTTAAGATGTCTTTGCTGTCCTGGTCTTTGAGGTTTTAATGTGCAGTGATCTGCTGGGGATAAGTCTGGTGGGCCTGGAGTGGAGTTGTGTGTGAATAATGAAGGTCATACAGGTAGAGGTTGCAGAGGTTATAGAGGTCATACATAAGAAGGTAGAGGTTATACCCTCGGGGAAGACACTCGCTTGCTGGGAGTTGAAGAGAGAAGGGTGTGGCGCTCTCTTCGGAGGGCAGCCTGCGGTTGAGTGTAGCTTAGGCTCAAGCTAGACTGAGCAGAGAACGGGATTTCCTGTCCTGCTTAGCTGGGCACCAAGCCAAAGGCGTGCCTATGCCATGGCCTCCTGGAGCTCACAGACTATTCCAGAGGGGTGGTGTTTTTTCTTTCTTTTTGAAAGAAAAGCTTGAGAGACCACATGCTGCCCCTCTTAAGGAAGGGAGGCAGATAGCAGCTGTGTTATGGAATAACAGGCCTGTTGAGTGGCCGTCTTTTCCTGGAAATGGACTTACTCCTGGAGATCCATTGCTTGAAATGAAACTTGGCTTGGAAAGAGGGTGTGAGCAGGCCCATTGATGTGTGTGAGAGAACAGGGACACTGTGGGTTCACGTCACACCTGGGGGCTGCTGTTCATCCCTTACTTTTCTTACAAAATGAGGGCTTCCAGTTTTAGTTACAGTTTAACTGAATTATGACTGATCTCCCACAGCTCTCATCAAGAAATCCCTCTTCGTGTCGTGGGCCAGCCTGCCACACGGATTACAAAAATGTCTCACTTGTGTCATTTTATCATTTCTGCTAATGAAAGCCCCGACAGAAGAATGTCAGCGGGAGACACTATTGTGTTATATTACACCCTGTATTCTTAAATACTCTATGTCTTTATTTTCAAATGTGCTCTGGTATGTTGATGCCACCAATTGCTTTGTGTTCTATGCACAACCTCAAATTTCAGGAGCTCATCAAGAGGAGTTGTTTAGCATTCCCTGAAAAAGTCTGTGAGAGCAAATTGTTTTCCAAATGCTTTAATTAATAACTAAACACACGCACAGGTCGGCGTTTTAGGAGTATCTTGCCCTTTATTTCAGTTTTTTCTGAATGGTGAATTCTAACATTTTAGTGATGGTTGTAATGCCCGGCTAGTGCTGTCTGCCGAGTTGCTTTGTGTTAAGGAAGAAACAGTAAGGACACAATAAATCATTTCTTCACTGGCCATGGGAAGACTGCAAGCATAGTGTCAAAATGTGCTGCTGGTGGAGATGAAAGACCTGCCGACAGTATAGAAGGTAGTTAGCTGCCTGAGCTGGATGTGTTTCTGTTTGGCTAACTGGTTTAAAAAAAAAAACAAGCAAACTCTAAGGAAACACACACACACACATATATATATAGGGGGAAAATCATATGAGCAAGGATCTCATTAGTAGCATCAACTTGAATAATAATTTAGAATGGTTCTACATTGCCCATTGGATTTTTTTTAATTTATTTTTTAAGGAATACAAATTTTATAAGTACAACTTTGGGAATACATTTATTCTTCCCACCATACCTGCCCTCTCACCCACACTCCCATCCTCTCCCTTCCTCCTCCTCCCTCTCCCCTTGCCAGTCCCATCCTCCATTAAGATTCATTTTCAGTTAACTTTGTGCACAGAAGACCAACTCTATCCTAAGTAAAGATTTCAACAATTTGCACATACATACACACCAAAACACAAACTGTTTGAGAACTAGTTTTACGGTTAACTCATAATACAACTCATTGAGGACAGAGGTCCTGCATGGAGAGTTAGTGCACAGTGACTCCTGTTAATTTAACAGTTAACATGCTTATGTATGACATCAGTGCCCACGCAAGGCTCTTGACATGAGCTGCCAAGGCTATGGAAGCCATCTGAGTCCACAAACTCCATCAGTATTTAGACAAAGCCATAAGCAGAGTGAAGTTCTCTCCTCCCTTCAGAGAAAAGTACATCCTTCTTTGATGGCCACTTCTTTCCGCTGGGGGTTCATGCACAGAGATCCTTCATGTAGGACATTTTTTGCCCCAGTGTCTTGGCTTTCCATGCCTGAAATGCTCTCACAGGCTTTTCAGCCAGACCAGGAAGCCTTAAGGGTTGATTCCAAGGTCAGAGTGTTACTTAAAGCGATAGTCATTCTGTAAGTCTGCTGAGTGGACTGCTTCCCATGTTGGAACGTTATCTCCTTTTTAATCCTATCTACTATTATTGCCAGACACTTGATCCTATTTGTATGATCACTTTAACACTTAATATGATCACTTTAACAATTAAGATGGAATTTTTAGCACCAAGCTTAATGGGATTTGGAATCCTATGACAAGTTTTTTAACTGTACCTTTAGAAGTAACTCTGTAGAAATGTATGCAGAACTATACAGCTTTACAGTTACAAACTTCCTCCTCCCTCTCTTATTCCCACTCTTATTTTTTATTGAGATCTACTGTAAATTGACTTTATACACATATGATTAACTCTGTATTAAGTAAAGAGTGCAACAAATAGTGTGATGAAAAAACAAAAAACTGAAACTTGTCAAGACAAGGGTAGCTCAAGTCATTGCTTCTCGGGGCCAGTTTCACTTCTGCAGGCTCCCTTGTAGGTGCTCTGTTGGTTCTCACAGAGCAGGGAGAACATACGGTATTTGTCCCTTTGGGGCTGGCTTATTTCACTCAGCATGATGCTTTCCAGATTCCTCCATCTTGTTGCAAATGACCAGATTTCATTTTTTTTTTTTTTTTTTACTGCTGTGTAGTATTCCGTAGAGTACATATCCCATAATTTCTTTATCCAGTCTTCCATGATGGGCATTGAGGTTGATTCCATGTCTTAGCTATTGTGGATTGAGCTGCAGTAAACTTGGGGGTGCAGATAATTCTTTTTTACTGATTTCATTTCCGTTGGGTACATTCTGAGGAGGGGGATTACTGGGTCATATGGTAGGTCTATATTCAGATTTCTGAGGTATTTCCAAACTCTCTTCCATAGTGGTTTTACCAGTTTACATGCCCACCAACAGTGGATTAAGGTACCTTTTTCCCTACATCCTCGCCAGCATTTGTTGTTTGTTGGTATCTGTATGAGAGCCATTCTAACCGGGGTGAGGTGAAACCACATTGTGATCTTGATTTGCATTCCCCTGATGGCTAGTGATCTGGAACATTTTTTCATGTGTCTGTTGGCCATTTGGATTTCCTCTTTTGAAAAATGTCTGTTTAACTCCTTGGCTCATCTCTCTCTCTTTTTTTTTTAAAGGTTTATTTATTTATTTGAATGTCAGAGTTAAACAGAGTGAGAAGGAGAGGCAGAGAGAGGGAGAGAGGGAGGGAGGCAGAGAGAGAGGGAGGGAGAAAGGTCTTCGATCCGCTGGTTCACTCCCCAGTTGGCCGCAATGGCAGGAGCTGTGCTGATCTGAAGCCAGGAGCTTCTTCCAGGTCTCACACACGGGTGCAGGAGCCCAAGGACTTGGACCATCTTCTGCTGCTTTCCCATACCAGCAGAGAGCTGGATCAGAAGTGGAGCATCTGAGACTCGAACCGGCGCCCATATGGGATGCCGGCACTGCAGGCAGCAGCTTTACCTGCTACGCCACAGCGCCGCTTGGCCCATCTCTTAACTGGGTTGTTTGTTTTGTAGTTGTGGAGTTTCTTGATCTCTTTGTAGATTCTGGTTGTTAATCCTTTATCAGTTGCATAGTTTGCACATAATTTCTCCCATTCTGTCGGTTGCTTCTTCACTTTCCTGTTTCTTTTGCAGTATGGTAACTTTTCAATTCGATGTAATCCCAGTTGTTAATGTTGGCTTTCACTGCCTGTGCCGCTGGGGTCTTTTCCATGAACTCTTTGCCAGTGTCTTGCAGAATATCCCTGATGTTCTCTAATAATTTGATGGTGTCGGGTCATAGATTTAGATCTTTAACCCATGTTGAGTGGATTTTTGTGTAAGGTGTAAGGTAGGGGTCTTGCTTCATGCTTCTGCACGCAGAAATCCAGTTTTCCCAGCACCATTTATTGAATAGACTGTCCTTGCTCTAAGGATTGAATTTAGCTCCTGATCACATGTAAGTTGGTTGCAGATGCTTGGATTGACTTCTGCTGTTTCTGTTCTGCTCCATTGGTCTATCCATCTATTTTTGTAGCAGTGCCATTGCTGTTTTAATAACAACTGCCTTGTAGTATGTCTTGAAATCTGGTATTGTGATGCATCTGGCTGTGTTTTTGTTGTATAGGATTGCTTTAGCCATTCGAGGTCTCCTGTGCCTCCATATGAATTTCAGCATCATTTGTTCTAGATCTGAGAAGAATGTCTTTGGTATTTTGATTGGTTTTGCATTGAGTCTGTAAATTGCTTTTAGAAGAATGGACATTTGATCATATTGATTGTTCCAATCCATGAGCATGGAGGATTTTTCCTTTTTTTTTTTTTTTTTTTTTTGTATCATCTTCTATTTTTTCTTTAGTGTTTTATAATTCTCATGGTAGAGATCTTTGACCTCCTTGGTTAAATTTATTCCAAGGTATTTGATTTTTTTTTTATTTTGTAGCTATTGTGAATGATATTGGTCTTAGAAGTTCTTTCTCGGCCAGCGCCGCGGCTCACTTGGCTAATCCTCCGCCTGCGGCGCCGGCACCCTGGGTTCTAGCCCCGGTTGGGGCGCCGGATTCTGTCCCGGTTGCTCCTCTTCCAGTCCAGCTCTCTGCTGTGGCCTGGAAGGCAGTGGAGGATGGCCCAGGTGCTTGGGCCCTGCACCTGCATGGGAGACCAGGAGGGGGCACCTGGCTCCTGGCTTCAGATTGGTGCAGTGCACACTGGCCATAGCTGCCAGTTGTGGGGGGTGAACCAACGGAAAAAGAAGACCTTTCTCTCTGTCTCTCTCTCACTGTCTGCTTGTAAAAAAAAAAAAAAAAAAAAAAAACCTCTCTCAGACATGGCATTGTCTGTGTGTGTTTTGACTATATATCCTGCTACTTTAGCAAAGTCTTCCCTGAGTTCCAGTAGTCTCTGAGTGGGGACGTTTCGATCCTCTATATGTAGAATCATGTCATCTGCAAATAGGGATTGCTTGACTTCTTCCTTCCCAATTTGTATCCCTTGGATTTCTTTTTCTTGCCTGATGGCTCTGGCTAAAACTTCCAGGACTATATTGAATAGCAATGGTGAAAGTGAGCATCCCTGTCTAGTACCGGATCTCAGTGGAAATGCTTCCAACTTTTTCCCCTTCAATAGGATGCTGGCTGTGGGTCTGTCATAAACTGCCTTGATTGTGTTAAGGAATGTTCCTTCTGTACCCAATTTGTTTAGAGTTTTCATCATGAGAGGGTGTTGTATTTTATCAAATGCTTTTTCTGCATCTATTGAGATAATCATATGGTGTTTGTTCTGCAGTTTGTTAATGTGGTGAATCACATTGGTTGATCTTCGAATATTGAACCATCCCTGCATACCAGAGATAAATCCCACATGGTGTGGGTGGATGATCTTTCTGATGTGTTGTTGGATTCGATTGTAGAATTTTGTTGAGGATTTTTGCATCTATTTCATCTGGGAAATTGATCTGTAGTTCTCTTTCTCTGTTGCATGTTTTTCAGATTTAGGTATTAAGGTGATCCTGGCTTCTTAGAATTTGGGAGGATTCCCTCCCTTTCAGTTGTTTTGAATAGCTTGAGAAGAATTGGAGGTAGTTCTTTAAATATCTGGTAGAATTCAGCTTTGAAGCCATCTGGTCATCGGCTTTTCTTTATTGGTAGGGGCTTTATTACTAATTCAATTTCTGTCTTGGTTATGGGTCTATTTAGGTTTTCTTTGTCTTCATGGCTCAATTTAGGTAGTTTGTATGTGTCCAGGAATCCATCCATTTCTTCTAGGTTTCCCAGTTTGTTGCCATACAGCTCTTTCAGAATGGACTAGAAGGTTTTTACCCGCTACGCCACAGCATCGGCCTCCCATTCACAATTTTTGGCCCTTCTTAATTTCCCTTACCAGTAAAGAGTCATCAGTTTATACTGTGTCATATATAGTCACTTTCTGTTACCTCTTTTGGTCTTATTTCTTCAAATCATAAGCACTCAAGGATAGGGATCTTATACTGTGAATTTCTTCTGTTTCATTCAGGTACATAGTTGGTGCTAAGTAAATACATAATGACCAGAATCACTAGTGCACAGTTAAGGTGGGGTGATTGGTAACAGATAAATCTAGGAGAGGAATCTACTGTATGGTAGTGTCTAATTCCAACCAAGCACCTTCCCTGTATTCAGTATCTTTTATGTATTTAGATTTAGCAAAATGTAGAGATCCTGTTCATTCCCATGCAGCATTCGACATCTCAGAGCTTCGTAACGTGAGTGACGTGAAATGGCCTGTGTGTATGAGAGGAGACGGAGGAACGGACCCAGTCAGAGAGCTCAGGCGCGGCCCCGGGTGACGCAGCCTCCAGCAGGGAGCTCACGCGCGGCCCCGGGTGACGCGGCCTCCAGCAGGGAGCTCACGCGCGGCCCCGGGTGACACAGCCTCCAGCAGGGAGCTCACGCGCGGCCCCGGGTGACGCGGCCTCCAGTCGGGAGCTCACGCGCGGCCCCGGGTGACGCGGCCTCCAGTCGGGAGCTCACGCGCGGCCCCGGGTGACGCGGCCTCCAGCAGGGAGCTCACGCGCGGCCCCGGGTGACGCAGCCTCCAGTCAGAGAGCTCAGGCGCGGCCCCGGGTGACGCAGCCTCCAGTAGGGAGCTCACGCGCGGCCCCGGGTGACGCGGCCTCCAGCAGGGAGCTCACGCGCGGCCCCGGGTGACGCAGCCTCCAGCAGGGAGCTCGCGCGCGGCCCCGGGTGACGCGGCCTCCAGTCGGGAGCTCACGCGCGGCCCCGGGTGACGCGGCCTCCAGTCGGGAGCTCACGCGCGGCCCCGGGTGACGCAGCCTCTAGTCAGGGAGCTCGCGCGGCCCCGGGTGACGCGGCCTCCAGCAGGGAGCTCGCGCGCGTCCCCGGGTGACACATGTGCGTCCTGTGTGACTGTCCCATCCTCTTTTGTGGCTCTGTGGGGTGAGGGGCACTCCACCATGTTCTGTGGTTGGAGGTCAGTACTACAGCAATACCTGCCAATCTGAGGGCTCGGGAGACTGGTTGTATATCCCTTACAAACTGCAAGAAACTCTTCTGTCTAACTACGTACTATTGGGCATTGTGTTGAAACGCAAATCAACAGTTCACTCTTGTGCTGAGCCGTGATCTCGAAGCCTCCCAGAGCAGCCCCTCGCAGTAGAGGTGCAATCTGATGTGTTGTGTGTCCTGGACGGTACTGATCACCGTGATAGTTACTCTCATATCCTAAGCTGTGCTCATCTTGTCTTTCTCAGGTACTGGTATCTCGGACCTTTAAAAATCAAAGCAGCCCACTTTCTCAGCACTCTTAAGGTAAATGCAGTTTGCATGATCAAGACTTGCTGTGTTTGCTTTGTTGTTTCTCTGTGATGTGTTTATTTGCGATAGTTTAAGGGTTCTTGCTACAGATGCACATGATATACTCCAGCTCTAAAGTGCGGTATTTTGGTCACATGCAAATATGGAAAACATTCCTGTTTGAAAAGCATCAGCCCCCAACTGCCAACTCACCCCCCCCCATGACCAAACCCATATTAATCTCTCAAAATGATGTATTTATGTATTTGGTTTTATTTGGAAGGCAGAGGGAGACACACATGTACACACACATGCACATGGCGCACACACACACAATCTTCATCCATTGGTTCAGTCTCCGTATGCCTACAATAGCCACGGCTGGTCACAGGCAAAGCCAAGAGCCAGGAACTCCATCTGTGTCTTCTATGAGGGTGGCAGCAACCCAGCCCCTGGGCCATCATCCACTGCCTCCCAGGCACAGCAGCAGGGAGCTGGGTGGGATGCCCAGAGTAACCAGGGTGGCGCTGGCACTCCTGTGTGAGATGTGGGCATCTCGAGAGGTGGCTCCACCCCCTGTGCCACGGCAGTCACCCCTGGGTTTCTCCTTAGCAATCTACTTCTTTGTGCTATTAATTCACACAGTCTGCTCGGACTTTGAGCAGAGTAACATATGTTTCGTCAGTTATTTGTAGTGTGTCTGTATTAGTAGCTGTAAATGGAGTTTATATCAGAATACATCTAATTATACAGGCTCACCTATAATATATTTCAAACTTTTCTTGCTAAATGTGGATAATGGTTACTATATTGGATAGTCCATATATAGAATATTCCCATTATCAGAGAAAGCTCTATTGGGCATTGCTTCTGTGTTGGTATAGAGAAAAGTGTAACAATTTATATGAATGAAAATGCTAATGAAGTCACCTGTGACTGTGGACTACATATTATGTTCCGCTTTTATGCAGATCAAAGTAGTGTATTCCCAGTTTGTCATCTGGAGGTTGGCAGATAAAGTTTGAATGTAGTGAGAAGTGTGGCTCCAATGTTACTATCCAGAGTTATCAGACTTTTTCTTTTCTAATTATAAAAGTAAGATCTGTCATTATAAAACTTTTTGGAATAATAGTTCCCTTTACCTGCTAAAAAATTCCAGTTTTAAAAACTCAAGTGTAAAAAGCAAAAAGTACTAGAGGTAAACCTGTGTGAGTTTCACAACAGATTTCCGAGAACAAGACCTTTCTGTATCTGGGGTCAACTGGGTTAATAAATGTATTTCTCAGGGAGCAGTTCCACTGGGGGAAGAGTGAGTGGATTCTGGAAGAAACAGGAGCTATGTGTTTAAATGTTAGAGTCCAGGAGAATGTAAACTGCTTTCATCCGTTTATTTAGCTAACAACTGTCGATATATTCTTGAGACACAAAAATCGAGTAAGACAGCTTTGTTGCCCTCAGGAAGTAGTCTTATGCTGGGGCAGAGGTGCAGGTAAGGAGATCCGTGGTTTGGCAGGTGTGGAGAGAATGAGACGGAGTGGAGAGGAGGGCCGTGTACACCTGACTGCAGGTCAGAGAGTCTTCCTGGGGAACGTGGTGCTTAGGGAACTTGGAATACATATGCAGGACCAGATAAAGGGCATCCCAGGCAGGAGGCAGGACGTGTGAACTCCCAGTGGTGTTAATATGGTAATTAATTGCTGTCCACACAGTAGGCTGGCAGGCAACAAAGGTAGAGGGCCAGAGAGTGGAAGGGCAGGGCAGGCTTTGAGGTGCCCTTGGACTTACCCCCTTAAAGCACTGGGGAGTTAGTGAGTCTTGAGCAGAGGTGTGACGTGAGCAGAGGTCTGACGTGAGCAGAGGTCTGACGTGAGCAGAGGACTGACGTGAGCAGAGGTGTGACGTGAGCAGAGGTCTGACGTGAGCAGAGGTGTGACGTGAGCAGAGGTGTGACGTGAGCAGAGGTCTGACGTGGGCAGAGGTGTGACGTGAGCAGAGGTCTGACGTGAGCAGAGGACTGACGTGAGCAGAGGTGTGACGTGAGCAGAGGTGTGACGTGAGCAGAGGTCTGACGTGAGCAGAGGACTGACGTGAGCAGAGGTGTGACGTGAGCAGAGGTGTGACGTGAGCAGAGGTGTGACGTGAGCAGAGGTGTGACGTTGTGACGGCAGAGGACTGACGTGAGCAGAGGTGTGACGTGAGCAGAGGACTGACGTGAGCAGAGGTGTGACGTGAGCAGAGGTGTGACGTGAGCAGAGGTGTGACGTGAGCAGAGGTCTGACGTGAGCAGAGGACTGACGTGAGCAGAGGTGTGACGTGAGCAGAGGTGTGACGTGAGCAGAGGTCTGACGTGAGCAGAGGACTGACGTGAGCAGAGGTGTGACGTGAGCAGAGGTCTGACGTGAGCAGAGGTCTGACGTGAGCAGAGGACTGACGTGAGCAGAGGTGTGACGTGAGCAGAGGTGTGACGTGAGCAGAGGTGTGACGTGAGCAGAGGTGTGACGTGAGCAGAGGTTGTGACGTGAGCAGAGGTGTGACGTGAGCAGAGGACTGACGTGAGCAGAGGACTGACGTGAGCAGAGGTGTGACGTGAGCAGAGGTGTGACGTGAGCAGAGGTGTGACGTGAGCAGAGGTGTGACGTGAGCAGAGGTGTGACGTGAGCAGAGGTGTGACGTGAGCAGAGGTCTGACGTGAGCAGAGGTGTGACGTGAGCAGAGGACTGACGTGAGCAGAGGACTGACGTGAGCAGAGGTGTGACGTGAGCAGAGGTGTGACGTGAGCAGAGGACTGACGTGAGCAGAGGTGTGACGTGAGCAGAGGTGTGACGTGAGCAGAGGTGTGACGTGAGCAGAGGTGTGACGTGAGCAGAGGTGTGACGTGAGCAGAGGACTGACGTGAGCAGAGGTGTGACGTGAGCAGAGGTGTGACGTGAGCAGAGGTGTGACGTGAGCAGAGGTGTGACGTGAGCAGAGGACTGACGTGAGCAGAGGTGTGACGTGAGCAGAGGTGTGACGTGAGCAGAGGTGTGACGTGAGCAGAGGTCTGACGTGAGCAGAGGTCTGACGTGAGCAGAGGTCTGACGTGAGCAGAGGTGTGACGTGAGCAGAGGACTGACGTGAGCAGAGGACTGACGTGAGCAGAGGTCTGACGTGAGCAGAGGTGTGACGTGAGCAGAGGTCTGACGTGAGCAGAGGTGTGACGTGAGCAGAGGTGTGACGTGAGCAGAGGTGTGACGTGAGCAGAGGACTGACGTGAGCAGAGGTCTGACGTGAGCAGAGGTCTGACGTGAGCAGAGGTGTGACGTGAGCAGAGGACTGACGTGAGCAGAGGTGTGACGTGAGCAGAGGACTGACGTGAGCAGAGGACTGACGTGAGCAGAGGTGTGACGTGAGCAGAGGTGTGACGTGAGCAGAGGTCTGACGTGAGCAGAGGTGTGACGTGAGCAGAGGTCTGACGTGAGCAGAGGTGTGACGTGAGCAGAGGACTGACGTGAGCAGAGGTGTGACGTGAGCAGAGGTGTGACGTGAGCAGAGGTCTGACGTGAGCAGAGGTGTGACGTGAGCAGAGGTGTGACGTGAGCAGAGGTGTGACGTGAGCAGAGGACTGACGTGAGCAGAGGACTGACGTGAGCAGAGGTGTGACGTGAGCAGAGGTGTGACGTGAGCAGAGGTGTGACGTGAGCAGAGGTCTGACGTGAGCAGAGGTGTGACGTGAGCAGAGGTGTGACGTGAGCAGAGGTGTGACGTGAGCAGAGGTCTGACGTGAGCAGAGGTGTGACGTGAGCAGAGGACTGACGTGAGCAGAGGACTGACATGAGCAGAGGTGTGACATGAACAGATATGCAATTTATTTTTTTTTTATCTTTGACAGAGTGGACAGTGAGAGAGAGAGAGACAAAGGTCTTCCTTTTGCCGTTGGTTCACCTTCCAATGGCCACCACGGCCAGCGCACCGCGCTGATCCGATGGCAGGAGCCAGGTGCTTCTTCCTGGTCTCCCATGGCGTGCAGGGCCCAAGCACCTGGGCCATCCTCCACTGCACTCCCGGGCCACAGCAGAGAGCTGGCCTGGAAGAGGGGCAACCGGGACAGAATCCGGCGCCCCGACCGGGACTAGAACCTGGTGTGCTGGCGCCGCAAGGCGGAGGATTAGCCTAGTGAGCCGCGGCGCCGGCCAGATATGCACTTTAAAAAATTGTTCGGCAACAGTGTGGACGAGAGATTGCATATGAGTAGCTAAAGGTGAGGGCATGAGATAGAAGATTGCTGTAACCGCAGGGAGAAGCGATTAGGTATAGACTGAAGTGCTGAGTGTTACCAGCAGAGGGTGCATGAAAGAGCTTACGGAGGGGGAACGGGCAAACGCTGGAAGAATATGGGTTTGCCAGAGTTTGGTGTGAGGCGCTAGAGTTTTGTAACTAGAGTTTTCTATCAGTGTGAGGGTTAGAGTAAGACCAAGTGTGTGCAGAAAGACGAAGTTTTCAGTTTGGTTCACACTGAATTTGTCAAGCCCACGGTACAGACAAGTGTGGGTAGAGTTGTGATTCAGGCCTGGAATTCGGCAGAGGTCTGGGCTGAGGAAATCCATGTGGATGTCTCTGAGTGCAGCTGTGGCATTGACACTGTGGGGGTGGTGAAGTTACCACTGCTAACAGCTGGCCAGGAACAGCCCTGAGGAATATGAGCATTTAAAGGGCCAGAAAAGACGACGAGGGCGTACTAAGAGCAGATCTAGGAGGGGGCGCTGACATAGAAGCCCACAGAAGTGAGAATCCCAGGAAGCAGCAGCAAGTGTGTGACTACAGACAGGACAGTGTCCACTGACTCGGCAGCCTCCAAGCTGGTGGCTTCCAGACTGGGGAGGCTGCAGCCATGTTTAAGAACGCTCAGGAACGTATGGGGGACGAGGCGGCGGCAGCGGCAGCGAGCGGAGGCCTCTCAGGCCAAGGAGTTTGATTTGCAGAGAAGGCGAAAGTTCTAAGTAGGGGTCGGTGGAGTGTTGCTTTTTTGATTGAAGAAATATCCTTGCCTTTACACTCCTAAGCACAAGAATAGAGTGGGAAGAGGTGAAGAAAAAGGAGAGAGGAAAGCATGAGTGGTTTGGTAAGGCCCACGCCAATAGAAGTGTGTGGGAGGGATCTTAGCCCTGGGCTGTCCCAGGACAGGAAGGGACACCTTCCTTGATGCAGGAGAAATAGAGAATAGGTGCTACAATCTTGCTTTCATCTGCAAGTTACGGAAGTTCTCTCCTGTCCCTGCTACTCTCAGGGAAGTGCTGAGAAGGAGGTGGGTGGTGGCGGGGGTGGGGTTGGGGGAAACATGAGAGAGCAGGTTCAGGGGGATGATCAAGCGGCTCTGAAGCCCTGAGACCAGGGATCTGTGGGGACCAAGAATTTGGGTGACTGGACGGATTCCCGAGCCGTGACGTAGTGACAGGTGTCTCCACAACTGGGCTTCTTGGCAAGTGCATTATGAACGAAAACAAGGGCCAAGGAAGCAACAGGAAGTAATTAACAAGGCGCTGAGAAAAACAGAATGGCCAGCGAGCGGAATTCCCAGTGGGGTTAGCATCTTCAGGGGCCAAACAGTAACATCCCTGTCCTCTGCCTTTGCATTCGGACCGAATCATGCAGTCGTTCCTAGGAACCCGGCAGATGGGGATGGAAAGTGTCAGTTTTATGCATGTCGCAGGAGGGAGGGACACAGTTTCGATGCAGGGTCACAACCTGACTTCCTGGTGCCACAGACTGGACTCGTCCACTGGAAGTGGCTTCTCCAGGGCAGAGACCACCGCAGTGAGCTTCCTGTGGGAAGCCGCAGCAGAGGCGTGCCTGGAGGACAGCTGCTGGCAGAGGGGCGGGAGGAAGGGGCGGGGCCGTGGGGCAGAGGGGCTGGAGGAAGGGGCGGGGCCGTGGGGCAGAGGGGCTGGAGGAAGGGGCGGGGCCGCGGGGCAGGGAGGAAGGGGCAGGGGCCGTGGGAAAGAGGGGCGGGAGGAAGGGGCGGGGGCCATGGGGCGGGGGCCGTGGGAAAGAGGGGCAGGAGGAAGGGGCGGGGGCCGCGGGGCAGAGGGGTGGGAGGAAGGGGCCAGGACCATGGGGCAGAGGGGCCGGAGGAAGGGGCGGGGGCCGTGGGGCAGAGGGGCGGGAGGAAGAGGTGGGGCTGTGGGGCAGGAGGAAGGGGCTGGGGCCATGGGGCAGGGAGGAAGGGGTGGGGGCCGCGGGGCAGGGGGCAGGAGGAAGGGGCTGGGGCCATGGGTCAGGGAGGAAGGGGCAGGAGCCGTGGGGCAGAGGGGCGGGAGGAAGGGGCCGGGGCCATGGGGCAGAGGGGCGGGAGGAAGGGGCCAGGGCCATGGGGCAGAGGGGTGGGAGGAAGGGGCCGGCCGGGACCATGCCTCAGCCCTCTGGACGTGGGCAGGAGTAAGTGGTGAAGCTGAGACCTGCTTCTTACTGTTTGTAATTCACGCCATGGAAGCTTGAGAGGAGGGAGAAGTTTACCCTGAGACTCTGGGTACGTGGGATGTGGGTGTGACTGGAGAGTAGGAGATCAGAATTTTCGCTTTTCAGGATGTAAGGGCCAGGGTGTGGCCACGGGAAGGGCTGGCCTGGTGAGTCAGAGCCGCCGTCAAGGGGTGAGGCGCAGACACCATCAGGTGACTCAGGACGACACTGGGCCGGGGGCTCCCAGAAGTAGAAAACAGACTGCAACCTGAGGCTGCTGGGCTTTGGAGCAGAGGCGAGAAGCCTTGGGCCGACTTGCAAGCCTGACCAAGCCTGGCTGGCCTCTGTGATGTGGGTGCAGAAGTGAAGTAAGTGCCGGATGCAACTGGCTGATTTCATTGTTGCGTCACCACGGATAGCGTTTTTAGGGGATGACTTTATTCATGGGTTTTTGGACCAGTGTAAGCAGTGGTTATCGGTCCACTTGGATTTCCTGCTCTGTGGTAGAGCGGTGGTGGCAACAGCCACGGGGTCTGTGGTTCTCAGAAAGGAACTGTCGCAGGAAACGACACTTGAGTCCATGCACCGAGAGGTGGCCCCAGCAAGTAGAGCTAGAATATCGATGTTTGCAGAGACAGACTCCCAGAATGAAGAATCGTGTGTGACGAAAGCTTTTCTCTTCTCATTTAAAGGAGTGGCCTCAAACGCATCAAGCCTCCATCTCGTACACGGGTCCTACAGTGAGACCACCCAGTGAGCCAGAAGGGACCCCTCCCCGGCCGTCTTTGTACAGGAGAATATTGCGAAGGCTCGCGTCATACTGGGCACCACCTCCGGAAGGTGAGCAGCGTGGTGACGGAAGGGAGATGAGAGCGCCCGAAAGCAGACCCCCAGAAATCGGTCTAGAGCCTTAGCTAGCACCGAGGTGGACCTGAAGGGTCGTTGAAGGCAGCCTTCCGTGTGCCACCAGGGTAGGCCCAAACGAGGCCCCAGCGATGGGCCCAGGAGGCTGTGCACTCTCCCTGACACTGACGCTGACGCCAGCACAGCTACTTCTGGTGTGGGTGTTGCAGACACATCCCACTTGGAGCCTGGCTCCTTACCCGTTGTGTCTAAGAAGGGTGAGGGACGGTCAGTAGAAGGGCTGGTGGAGCTGAGTGGACTGTGCTGCTAGTGGGTGGTGAGTTGTTGGTGCAAGAAGTTGACTTGTGCCTGTGCGTCTCCCACAGCCCTCTCCCAAGAGGTGAGCCTGCAAGACTGGAAGGAAGTACAGCTGTCCACCATTGAACTGTCCATCACAACACGGAACAGCCAGCTTGACCTGACGGTGAGTGTGCTTTTGCTTGAGAAACATCTGGTGTCTGGGAAAACTGACCAAGGCTACGTGTTCTTGCACTGATTGATTTTGACCCTGTGCAGACAGAGAGGAACCGATCAGGAGAAAAGGGGTGTGTGTGGCTGTCAAGGAGTGCAGAGGTGCCGGGGAAGCTCCGTGGGCTCTGAGTTAGAGTTCTGGCCGTTGCGTAGTGGCCTGTACAGATGAAAAGTTACCTACTCCTTGGGGCCGGTGCTGTGGTGGAGTGGGTGAAGCCGCCACCGGCAGTGCCGTCATCGCATGTGGGCACCAGTTCATTTCCGGGCTGCTCCACTTCTGATCCAGCTCCCTGATGATGCACCTGGGAGAGCAGTGGAGGATGGACCAAGTGCTGGGGCCCTGCACCCACGTGGGAGACCCGGAGGAAGCTCCTGGCTCCTGTGCCGTTTGGGGAGTGAACCAGTGGATGAAAGTGCTCTCTGTCTCTCTCTTGTTCTCTAACTCTGGATTTCAAATAAATAAATCTTTTTTTTTTTTTAATTTATTTGACAGGTAGAGTTATAGACAGAGACAGAGAGAAAGGTCCTCCCTCCTTTGGTTCACTCCCCAAATGGCCGCCATGGCCAGCACTGCACCAATCCAAAGCCAGGAGCCAGGTGCTTCCTCCTGGTCTCCCATGCAGGTGCAGGGCCCAAGCACTTGGGCCATCCTCCACTGCCCTCCTGGGTCACAGCAGAGTGCTGGACTGGAAGAGGAGAAACTGGGACTAGAACCCGGCGCCCATATGGAATGCCGGCACTGCAGGCGGAGGATTAACCAAGTGAGCCACAGCGCTGGCCCCATCAAATAAATAAATCTTAAAAAAAAGTCCTACTTCCATTTGTCACTGGGATAAAAAAGGATGCAAATTTTACTTATGTCAATACTTTATTTTTAGATACAGTCCTTTTTTAAAAAAAATTTGAGCCAGAGCTCCCATCTACTGGTTCAGTCCTCAAATGTTTGCAGTGAATTCAATCCAGGTCTCCCCTGTAGGTAGCGGGAATCAGTCACTGAAGCCAGGGTCCACCTCTCCGCTCTGGGTCCATGGCAGCAGGAAGTCGGAGTCAGGACCTGGAGCTGGAAATCAAACCCAGGAGCTCTGATACGGGAGCAGGCGTCTTCACCACCAGGCCAGAGACCTGCCCCAGCAGCCATTATTTTTGTGATGGTATTGAATCATAGCTTCAGAGCCCCGTAAAAAGAAACACACACATACACATGCCTGTGTTTGTATTCATACATGGTTTTGTCTTAGTCCTGTCTATAGACATGCATTGAACAACATGGTATCCAGTAGCCATATGCTAGCTACCTAAACTTAAACTAATTACGATTAAAATTTGAAACTCAGTTCCTCAGTCGCATTAGCTACAGTTCAAGTGTCCACTCTCATGCGTGGCTGTCAATACCCTGTGTGTAAACCATTCTCATCAGCATAGACAGCTACAGCGGATAGGGCTGCCATAGACAACACACCAAAGACAAGTTCAAATAAGGCAGGAGTTGGCAAACTGGTCTGCCATGTGTTTTTGTATAGTTCATAAGCTAAGAATTGATTTTCTAATTTTAAATGGCAGAAAATGAAAAGAATAATGTTTTGTGATACAAAGATGTCAAGTTTCAGTATCCAGAAATAGTTTCACTGGAACACAGCCGTGTTCATTCCAAAACAGATTCTCTGGCTGCCCCAGTGCTACAGTGGCAGAGCTGGGGACTGCGCAGAGAGACTGTGTGGTCCAAAAGCAAAAACCATTTACCATTTGGCCATTTACAAAAATCATTTCTGACCCCCATATAGAGAAAACTTTAGTAAATTTATGTTAATGAGACTGCAAGTAGAACAGCCATTCATAACTGTGGGTTAACAGGTTTTTTAATAAAGATTTTATTTCATTTATTTGAGAGGAGAGGGAGAGACAGAGAGAAAGGTCTTCCATCTGCTGGTTCACTCCCCAAATGGTTGCAATGGCTGGAGCTGCACTGAACCAAAGATAGGAGCCAGGAGCTCTTGTCTCCCATGCGGGTGCAGGGGCCCAAGCACTTGAGCCATCTTCCACTGCCTTTCTGGGCCATTAGCAGAGAGCTGGACTGGAAGAGGAGCAACTGGGACTAGAACCCGGTGCCCATATGGTATACTGGTACTGCAGGCAGAGCCTTAGCCTACTATGCCACAGCACCGGCCCCTAATTAATCAGATAGTATGTGCACAGTTGTCCTGGCCACTTGGAAAACTGGCAGATGGAGCTGGAATGTGGTGAGGCGTTTGATTCCAGTATTAAGACTCAGAACAGTGAGTTGTTTCTAATTGTTCTCAGGAAACACATGTCCACTGCAAAGCACCTGGAAAGCATAGCTCTCCCATGAAGAAATCCACTTGAATTAACTAAAAATAAAATAAATAAAGCTGTGAACGGGCTCGTCAGTATAAACCTGGCAGGACAAGGTCTTTTTCTTAGCACGGCATCTAAGGCAAAACGCGTATTAATGCATTTGTCTACGTGTTAAAAGACACCATAAACAAACTTTTTAATGAGAAATTGGCTGACTAGTAGGATGTGATAGACTAAGAACAAATGGCTTTCCTTATAATAAAGCCTTAGTGTAAACTAATAAGAAATAGGCAATGCGGTAATGTGAAAATGCACAAAGGAAAGCGTGTGACATGCACTCACAAATGATGAAGCTCCCAAATGCTTCTATTTGCTGAACTTGTACAAGCTAGGCCCTGTCCTAAGAATTTTTCGTGTGTTAACTTCTCCCTTGTGACTGCATTATTAGATACAACTTTTGTCTGAATTTCAAGGGAAGGACAGAAAATGTGCTCAAGGTCAAAGAAATGTGGATTAGTGACTGGAATTGACATCCAAGCTGGACGCATGATGGATAGCACTCGCTGGAACAAGCAGCCGCCTGCGTTTCTGATGGAAATGCCAATGGGACGCCTTTCTCAGTGGCAGCTTGCTTGTCCTATCAAGTGTATTTCTAGGAATGTATCCTACAGAAGCGATCAAATGAATCTATAATGCAGGCAGTCCTTTATTTCTTACATAATGAATTTGGAAAACATAGGTAAAAGTGAGATTACGAAGGTTTAAAGAAGTAGATTCTGTCCCAGAAATACTTTAAAAAGAAAGATAAAATTTCTAATTACACATTTCCCCTCATCCATTCTTTGATACTGCGTACTTCCCGTGTTTTGCTCATGTTCTTGTCTCTGATGATTGAATACCAATGAATGGACTGAGTTTAATGAGTACATGATTGTGGCTTGAGATTAGTTATATTGAGAATTCAGTCAGTTTTATCTTTGTCCCAGTTATAAACGTCTATGATACTGTGCTGCTTATCACTGATTTTCTTCCCTCACATTTCTTTGTAAAAATAAAAGCAAATGCAATAAAATATTCAAAGAAAACGAGGCTGCATGTAACAGTCCAGAATGTTCATTTATCATGAAAAGCAGCACATTTGGAGTCTGAAAGAAGCTGTATGAATGTGGATTTGTGAGAACTGAGTTCCCTGTACAGCTGTGTTCACAGTATCTGATAGCAAAGGATAAGGAGCAAATGCGTCCGTTTAATGAACTGGTATATGTAAGGTTATAAACGTGATTCTATATTGGTTTGCATGGAAGGATGCTGATCATATATTGTCAGGTTAAGAACAAGGTTACAATAATTTGTATGAAATGACTGCGTTTTTTATTTAAAAGGAAATTCTAAAACTGGATTTCATGGATGATGGCGCTAAGGCTCCAATTTGACGTTCTTTCCAAATGGAAAGCCAGCTGTCCAAACACCACTTCTGCAAATGTCCCTTCTTTCCCACTGGTCTTCAGGAAACCTCCGTGTACGTCAGGTGTCCATATACATGTAGACGTCTCTAGTCTGTTGCTCTCTTTATTCTGGTACTAATAATCTGCTTCTCTTAGGATAGTATTACATTCCTCTGTTCTGTTCTTTTTCCCTAAAGAGTCTCCTGGCTATTCTTGGCTCTTGGACTTCTATAAATACTGTAGAATGTTTATTAGACTCCACATAAAAGCGCTGTACTGATCTGGGTTGCATGTGCGGATAGATGAGTCCTGAACCATGCAGCGTGTGTCTTCACTGGTCAGCCTCAGTCTCTGTCAGTGACGTCTGGGAGTTTTTTATGTAGGATTCTGTTGGGACCGGCACCGTGGCTCACTTGGTTAATCCTCCGCCTGCGACGCCGGCATCCCAAGTAGGTGCCGGGTTCTAGTCCCAGTTGCTCCTCTTCTAGTCCAGCTCTCTGCTGTGGCCCGGGAGGGCAGTGGAGGATGGCCCAAGTGCTTGGGCCCTGCACCCCATGGGAGAGCAGGAGAAGCACCTGGCTCCTGGCTTCAGATTGGTGTAGCTCCGGCCGTAGTGGCCATTTGGGGGGTGAACCAACGGAAGGAAGACCTTTCTGTCTCTCCATCTATCAAAAAAAAAAAAAAAAAATCTGTCTTCTGCTGGATGTATTTCTTGAAAATAGTTTCTTAAAATGTCATTTTCTATCTGATTTAGTAGATAGGCATGTAATTGGTGTTTACATTGATGCTGAATTAGCAGTCTAAATTCTTACTGATTTTAGTTTTTTTGTGTGGATTCTGTTGGATTTCTTGGCGGTTCCGTCAAATGAGACTGCAGACGGTGCCCGGTTTTGTTTCCTGCTCGGAGTTCTCAAGTTCACACCTTTCATCTCACTCCTGGACAGTGTTGTGTAGAGGTCATGGTGGTAAGGGCCATCATCTGCCTGATTAGAGAAGGGTTCCCGGCCTCATTCTCCTTTCTCAGGTTGAAGTTGCCTTCCATTCCCAGTTTGTTAATAGTTATTATCTGTTATCGTAAAAATCTTTCCAGCCTCTTCTGAAATGGTCAATCTTCCCATTTAATCTGTAATAAATTTACTTTTGAACGTTGATATGAGACTTTTGGCCAAGCTGAAGCACCAGGTTTACCTTTGCACCTTACAGTCGGGGCAGAATCTGAAACAGTGTTGACAGACAGTGGTCTGAATTAAGCAGCGAGGGACTGACTCCAGACAAAAGGGAATCAAACAAGACAAGCCCTCTGCTGGTCCCAGCCTGCTGCTGGAGAGGCTGCAGCCTGGGTCAGCTAAGGCCCCGCGGGGTCCCTTTGTGACCTGAACAGCCCGCGTCTGGACTGTGGAGGAACAGTGTGTGTTTCTGTTAGCATGAGAAAGAAAAAGAGGAAAAACACAAAGTGTTGAACTCTTTACCTATAATAGAGTTATAGATGTTAATAAAAAACAAGACTGGGAAGCGGAGGAGGGTATGGTGGGAAGAATTACTATGTTGCTAAGGTTGTATTAATGAAATCCATGCAGATAAATTTTAAAGAAAGGCCTTTGAGAATTGAGGGTCATCGAGACAGCCAGCAGAGCATGAGAGCCGCGCCAAGAGGGAGCCGGAGACCTGCAGGTTTCCTGTGGCGTCGCCGGGGAGTGCCTGCTGGGACAGGCCCGTGGGAGAGCCCCCAGGCTGGAGAAGGAACTGGCCGCCCTGCACAGCCAGAGGCTCCGTCCCGTCACAGGGCCGGGGCTCCGTGTTCCCGGCAGCGGGTCCTGTCAGACTCAGGGTTTGAGGAGCTGCTGCAGGAAGCTGGCGCCTCAGCAGTGGGCGAGATTGGCTGAGGCTGCCTGCGGTCTCCTAGCTACGCGCAGGGACTGAACTCCAGGGCTCCATGGAGGGGGCTGTCCCGCTGCCTGGATTTGTACGGTCTCCGAGCTAAGCATGGCTGTTACAGTTGTGGAGTTTTTTAAAAAACAGGAGTGTTCTCTTGTCACACGTGAATATTGTTTAGAATTTGCATGTCAGGGTGTGGAAGGCCATCCTGGACCTCAGCCACATGGCTGCATGGCCGCTGGTGCGCCTCCATGGCAGAGCCGAGCGCCCGGGGCGGGGCCTCCTGGCCCTGGATGGACGAGGACCGCTTTCCCCACCTCCACTCCCGGTGGCCGTTCCGCCTGTGCCCCGGACGCGCGGCCTGCGGAGGAGGTGCTTCACCGCCTCGCTGATGCTGCTTTGGACCGACTCCTCCGGCCCCCCGTCACCGCATCACATCCCTCTTCCTGCGTTCCCTGGACCCGGGCCCCTCCTGCTGCTTTCCCTAGGCTGCTGTTTCCTGGCTCACTGCCCCCCGCGCCATCCCTACTCCTGCTCTGATTCCCAGCCCAGCAGCCCGAGGATCCTATTAAAATGAAGCCTGAATGGTGCCCCTTCCCCTCTCTGGAACCCTCCCGTGGTTCTCCGCATCACTCAGTCTAAGAGCCTGATTCTCAGAGAGGTCTACAAGGGCCTCCTGACGGAGCACCCCCGGTCTCTGTCCCAGCATGCCACTGCAGCCGCACTGGCTTCCTGGCACAGGTCAGGCACACTCCACGGCAGCCCCCTTTGCAGGGATACCCCTCCCCCGGGGCCAGTGGCTCTCCAAGTGTGGCCCCGACACTGGTAGCATCAGCCATGCCTGAGACTTGTTTGCAATGAAGTCTTGGGCCACACCCCAGATCTGCTGAACCAAAAACGGGGGAAGAAGCCAGAGTCTGAGTTTGGTTTGGAACCCACAGGAGCAGGCCTTGAGTGCTGTCAGGCCCTTGGGGATACCTGCTAAGGTCTGAGGCCCCGGGGCTGGGCGCCCGCAGTGCTGGACCGCTTCCCCTTTCAGGCTCAGCGGTACTCTTCCAGCTGGCCCCCTCTCCCGTCAAAGCCACCTCGCGCTCCTCGTTCTAGGTCTTTGGTCGCATTTCCTGCTACGTTGCAATACAATTCCCGCATACTTGCCTCCAGATAGCCTCTGTAACTCAGGATTTTATTACAGTTTTTCATTTCCTCCGTTCCCTACAGTTGAATGTAAGCTCTTTGCAGGCAGAAATTTGTGATTTTGCTGATGTGACCCGGGCTCTTCTTGGTACGTGGTTGGTGCCCATGAAGTTGCATACGAACCCTTGAGCAGAGTGTCCCACTCTGTGTCTTGTAATTCCTAGTTAAGGGAGGTGACTGTGCTTTAGTTGTACCCTTTAGCTTTAGGCATAGGCTTTAGGCTCTCAGAAGGCTGTGGGTTGTCTAGGTTACCGAAAAGAATTCCATCTGAAGCTCACAACGCGTTGGTATTTATAAGAGGCTGGGTTTGTATTGCTAGGCACAGACTGGTAGCAATTGTGAGGAGTGGTGCAAGAACCAAGTAGGTTTTCATACCCACTTCCTTGCAGCTCAGCTCTTTCTGTGGGTAGACATGGAGAGGTCTCAGAACATTATCATGGACTAAATGGATGCTGTTTCCAACTCTGGTTGCATACAAGTTTGAGAGCATGCTTGAAACCCAGACACCCGAGCTCTCCAGCCCACGCAGCTGGCGGTGGTGCGGTGTGTGCTGTGTTCAGTGGGCACTGAGAATCGCTGGCACGGGTGGGCAGAAGGCATCCTAGGGACTTTAACAGCCACGATTATTACTGAGTGGCAGAACTTCAAAAACCTCTGGGGTCTTATTTTGTGTACATGGTACAAAGCAGCAAATGCATTGAAGCAAGCCGTGCAGATGAGTCTGATGTAATTCTGCTTCAGTAAAGCCCTGGGGGAACTAAAGGACTAAAAATCTATTCTGGATTCGGCCACTAGAAGTGCAGCTTCCCAGTGGGAACCTCGGGAGACGACCGTGCGCGGGCCCGGGGTACTGACGCCTGTTTGCTTGCCTCCCTCAGAGCAAGGACGACTTCATGAACATCTGCGTGGAGCCCGACACGGTCAGCAAAGGAGACTTCATAAGCATAGGGTAGGTGGGCGGGGCCCTGGGGGAGGGCGGCTCGGGGCTGCGGACTGTCCGCAGTGCCCACCGCACGCCCCGGCCTATGTGGGAATTGTTTCTCCTGGGCCCCTCTCCTGTCCATTTCAGAAGATCAGAATGGAAGAGCAGTTTTTGCCTTTTAATTCAAAGTAGGAAATTCAGTGTAGCCTGGCAGCAAATCGAGAACTGTGGTTCTGGGGTCAGAGACGTGAATGCAAGTCCTGACTCTGGCCTTGGGCCTCAAGTCACTGAACTCAGGGTCGTTTCCTCTCTGGAGCGGGGTGTACAGTCGCCTGTGCTGCCTCTGGCCTGCTCTCCAGCCTCAGACAATGGGATGCGATCGTGCAGCACTTGAGTACCCCTTACCACTCCTGTCCTGCTCCCAGGCATGGATGAGAAGCTGGAAGGCGTATGGAGGGTTCTGGGGCCTTTCCCAGACGGCATGGCCTTCCCGGGCCAGCCTGATTTGTTCAGCCCTGTCTCTGCCAGAATCTCATTGGCTGAGAATACCGTAAGCTGCACCGAGCAGCTGGGGAGTTGCCATGCCGACTGGCAGCTGCTCAGCCCGTCTTCCTCTGCTTTGTCTCGGCGCTCCCCCTCGTGCCCGTGCCCACCGAGGAGGTGGACGTTTCTGGGGCAGTGGCCGGTCGCCATGGCTACGTCGTTAGCTGCGGCAGCAGCAGGAGGGCGTGCATTGGGCGCTGCGGCCTGTTTACTGGCTGTGTCTGGTGAGAGGAGCAGAGCCTGTGCCGTCTCTTACAGTGTCAGGGAGTCTGCTCCCTCATGCTGACGTCCCCACCCAGAAAACCCATCAAGTTCATGCCTGAACTTCACCGCTCTCTGGTACACGGGCTTGCGAGCAGCAGCAAGTCTGCTTTAGGTCCTTGAAGGACGTGAAATCCAGTGACGCACGCAGGCTTCCTCCGCATGTCGGACTGGGGCACTGGCGAGTTGCTCTTGGAAGCTGACACAGTTTCGTCGGTTGTCCATTAGTGCTAAGTAGAGGACTGACTGACGGGGTCACTTCTACCTCCTCCTCCTGACCGTGCCTAGCCACCGTGGGTACATGTGCGTGTGCACGGTAGCTGTACGCCACAACCATTTAGTCAAAGATAGAAGTAGACTGTTAATATAAGTGTAGGGAATTAGAGACCTTCTAAGACTGGTGGTTCACTTATATAAAAGAAACGTGTACCTTAAATTAGAATAAAAATGTTCTCCAAGAATCAGAAGAATGAAATAACAGAAATTCGGTACTTTCTCTGAAGAATTTCATTTCATTCTAATTTTTGCATTTAATTTAAAATAAACAAGTCAGAGAAAGCTGCAGTTTGCTTTCGCAATCTTGAATGTAGCAGCGCTGAGCAAGCGTCACCGGGAGACAGTCTATCACAGGACCCCACGGCTCACAGGCCATCTGTGTCTCTGCTCTCACACAGAGGAGGAGAGAACCTGCTGTACCTTTGGTCTAACGTGGTTGCCATTACTGGTTTAAGCTTGCTTTTCCTGTACCCACAGAAGCAAGAAGGTGAGAGACCCCAGGCTGCATGCGGATGGCACCGAGTGTCTGCAGGCCAGCCAGTGCAGCCTGCACCTGCCGGAGGTGAGGGGCAGCGGGCCGCGGGTCCCCTCTCGAGGCAGCTCGCGCTTGCCCGGGCTTTGTCAGCTCCTGGGTCACGTGAGGGAGGCAGACCTGAAGTTTGCAGTGTCCTCGAGCAAGGACCCTGTGGGCGCCGGAGCCTTCTGGGTGCGAATGCGCAAAGCTTCCTAGGCTTGGGTTAGGACGCACGGAGAATTCTCTAGCTGCAAGAGCTAACAGTGGGTTTTATTTTAACGTCTTTTATTGAGGACCTGGAAGTGTTTTTCATTTTGGCACTGAGTTTTTCTTTATTGGGAAATGACCCGCGTGGGAAGAGTTGGGAGTCTAACCTGAATGCTGAGGGCACTGACAGCCCCGGCGAGGCAGCTCGCCTCCACAGAGCAGGGAGGACCAGCGTTTCTCCACGGCTTACAGAACAGGTTTTTACAGAGAATAAGGAGGAAAATAAATCAGTGGATTTAAAGGCTTTCCCAAGAAAATTAAGCTTTCTTTTCATTTGAGAAAGATTAGGGCCAAGAAGGGAGCTTATGTTCATGAATCCCTTAAAGATGTATGTTTTAGTAAGTGTTTGAAGGAGATATGGAAAACTACTGGATTGGGGGATCTGGGTCTTCCCACAACCGGTGCTGTGGCCGGTGCAGTAGGCACTGAGAGAGGTCTTCCATCTGCTGGTTCTCTCCCGATTGGCCACAATGGCCAGAGCTGCACCAGTCCAAAACCAGGAGCTTCTCCCTGGTCTCCCACACGAGTGCAGGGACCCAAGGACTTGGGCCATCTTCTACTGCTTTCCCAGGCCACAGCAGAGAGCCGGATGGGAAGTGGAGCGGCAGGACTCGAACCGGCACCCACATGGGATGGTGGCTTTACCCGCTGCGCCACAGCGCTGGGCGGAGATGTTTGGAAAGACCAGTAGGCTGCATCCCCGGGCCCGGCGTCCCCCCAGGAGCTGCGCTGCCGGGTCGCGGGCGGGCGGGCGGGGCCGTCCTGAGCGCTGCTCTCTCTCCAGGGCACAGGAGGCGCTTTCAGCATCGACAGCGAGGAGTACGAAGCCATGCGCGTGGAGGTCAAGCTGCTCCCCAGGAAACTGCGGTTCTTCTGCGACCCCCGGAGGAGGGAGGAGATGCTGCAGGGGGCAGCTCCGTGAGCGGCCGCGGCGGGGGCGCCCGAGACGGATCCCCAGGGCCTGCTCGCGGCCAGTACCCTGCGCGCCGCCCGCAGCACGCCCTGCCCCGAGCGGCGATCCGTCCTCCGGGCTGATTGTCCCTTGTCTGCCCCGAGTGGACGGAGAGGACTCGAACTTTCTGCCCAAGCACAGCCGCCGCAGACTAAGTCCTCAGTGTGTTGTCGCGTCCAGGAATCCCGGGGCAGTGCCTGCCTTCCCCGGCTCCCGGCTCCCATTTCTAGGCTCTTCGTGGGTGTTGCTACCGTGGGGCTTTGGTTCAGTTTGTCCTCAATCCAAAAACAGTTGTGAGGCCATGTCCCTAGTCAGCCACCGCTAAAATACGGTAAAAGCCGAGTTGTTTCAAGCTGTCCTTTAACTGTTGGTCTGCATGAGAGCCTCCCGGGGTGGGCCTCACTCCCAGGCTGAGCTAGCAGTTTGAGGTGAGCGCCAGAAACGGCAGCTTGCCACGCTCCCCGGTGACAGTGTCCCCCACCCGTTCTCGGGAGAACGTAGCCGGAAGCGGCGGTCACCGCCTCTTCCACTCCCGTCTCCTGCAAAGTATTTTGAAAAATCATGTACCCCTCACCCATCCCAGTCGACGTCTGGAGTCTTTCGTGGGAAGTTGTCTAGTTGCCCAAGTCTGTACTTCCTGGTGTCATGTAAATATTGGTATTTTAAAATAAAAGCTGTTACATCACTCTTTTAAACATACTCAGTGTAGTTTAAATTCCACAGCAATTATTTATGAATGAACTAGTTCCTCAGTAGCTACCGTTTTTAAGTTGGTTTTTCTCCTGGTGTGTGTGAATTTTGTCATAATGTGATCTATTCTTACTGCTCACCCCAGCTACTTGTCAACAGCAAACAGCAACACTCACTCCCAAGGCTGACACAGCTGCTGGTATATAGCTCATGTTCATGTTTAACTTGGAATTTTTCATTAGGATATTCCTTGACCAAGAATACACATGATATTCATAGCTGAGATGAAGTGCAATGTCAGTTATATTCCTTGCTCCATTGTCACACGTCAGACTTCGCACACTGAAAATCAGTGCTCTACCAAGTGTCAGTTGAAAGCAGAGCACTAGAGCCCGCCCGACTGCTTCCTTACCATCTGATGCCACCACGGACTCTGTCCACAGGGAGGTGGAGATGTGTCCCTCTCTTTCTGGAAGGGGAGAAGTAGGGAGGCAGAACAGGTTCATTTTCAAACAGCTCAAGTTAGAATTAGAGGTATGAGTTTATTTTGGTGCAGAAACAATTTCGAAAGCCATGTGTGGTTTTCCACAGTAGACACTTTCACCTGGAAATTCTGCACTGAAACAAACTCAGTTTTCATTTTTTTTCTGGGAAGACCACTGCAAGAAATTCCTGAATGATGATCACAAAAAAATAAGGCTTCCGTATCTGGTATTGTAAGGAAGGAAATCCCGTCCCATGGAAGGGAGAGGGGAGGCCCCTGGGGCTGGGCATCTGGAGTAGCCGTCAAGAGGGCTCCTGGCTCCAGCTTCCTGCCCAGGTGCACCTGGGAGGCTCTGGGTCCTTGCCACTCACTGGCTCTGTCCCAGCCCTGCTGCAGGCACCTGGGTGATAACTGCTTGAGCGAGGGTTCGGCACCGCCTGGGCCTGCAGCAGCGTGGGAAGGCCCAGCAGACGGTCGGGCTGCCTGTGCGGGGGTTCCAGTCACAGCGGTGTGCTTTGTCTCCTCATCCAGATCACTGCCTGTGAGCACTGGGCTTCTCTCTCGTTCTCTGGATCCTTGTCTGCAGAAGCCCGACTGCTGATCTGTCTGGAGAACCTTAGTGCCTCTCCTCCTGTTTAGTGCAAATCATCTCAGCTCTTAGTGAAAGTTCTATGTTCTTAAATGTAAAGCTTATTTCTTCGCCCCATGGCTGATTGGCATGCAAAGTTATAATTAGTGAGTGTCCTTGCCTTACACCTGCAGCTAACCCTCAGGCCCCACCACCACAGGAAGCAAAGGCCCGAAGTAGGAAGGTGACTGAACACAGGTCACCTGATCCCAGAGCCACCACTGTCAGCCACCTAGAAACCCCCCAGAAGGTTAAAGATAGAAGCTTAGTGTATAATCTGTCCACACAGGTACCTACTGGCCCATACGTTTTACCAAAGGTCCATGTGGGGTTCTAGAAGCTCCCTGGTGTGGCTCAGAGTGCGCAACCCTGCCTCTTCGGGACGGGGACGGTACCTGCTGACTGTCCAGACCCTGGCCGCCTCGTCACCAGCACAGTCCGTGGGCAGCCCTGCCGGGAGTAAACCGCGTTCCCTGGACCAGGTGAAGGACTGCAGCACACAGATTCGTGTTAAAATGCACTTTAATTGTAAAAATCGTTTTGTGTAAATATAGTTATACATCTACCAGTCTGCACACGATTCTTTATGTATACAGATATGATGCACACGTCCTCCGTAGCACAGAACAAACAACCTCAGCTGTAGGGTTAACGCTGCCTTTCACTGGGCCCCTCCAGGACCACCATCAAACACAACAGCTGTGTGCAGGGCTCCAGGGCAGAACTGAGAACTGTCTCGCTCATTCTGTAATATGAGGTAAACACTTAGAAATAGATTCAGTTGCTCTTATTGCTATAAAATCATGCTGGGGTGTTAATCAAAATAGGGTTTTTACATTTAAGGCGACAGGGAGGCTATGTTGATCCTAATTTGGAAAAAAACAAAAATCAAGAAAACAGTTTTTCCAAGGAAAAACTTTTCAGGAAAGGTTCATTTTCCAGACCTCTATGGAAATTGAGTCAGCAAGGTCAGCCCAGGCTGCACAGAGCACAGAATTCCCCCCGGTCTTCACTGGGGGCTCTGGGACGTGCTAGACTCAGACCTTCCCCTCCTACTGCTAGTGGTACCCGAGCATCCCTCCGTGGAGGTTTCCTTCTGCCGATCACCTCTGGCTGGCTGACAGCGCCCTGTCTCGTCCCTGCATTCCCCACCCGTACTTAGAAAGCCAATCTACTGGTCTACACAGGTACTCTGTAGCAACATAGGTCACTCACCTCTCCTCCCTTGGGGTTAAATACGTCCTCAGAATTTAGGGCCACACCAGCTCTAAAAGCCCATGCTATGCTGGAATTCTAGAATAAATTCCAAAAAAACTGAAAAGAAGGCTTTCTTTCTTCATCGTTCCCTTCCTAAATCTGTAATTTCATTCAATGGCCCCAAGATTCCAGCTCCAGAAGTGGATTAAAGTGCCAGTCAGCAAACTACCTCCAGCTCGCCTCCGGTTGCCCCAGAGGCCCAACAATCATAATGGTCATGCCTCCCTGTTCCGCACCAGAGCTCTGCTTACGGGGCACCCGTCTGCCCCATTAGGACTGGCAGGCTTGGCCTCAGAAGAGCCCAGGTGGGTATCACAGAGCAGTCTGTTCACTCCAGCACACTCAGAGTAAAACTTCTCTGGGGTCTCAGCTGCTACCCAGTTACAGAACTTTCCCTTCCTTCTAGAGTCGTGGTTTGAACTTCCCCTGCATTTAACATCTTCATACTTGGCTCAGCACATAGAAACAGCAGTATAAAAATAAACTTCCAATGCTCGTAAGACAGACATTAACTTATTCACAGTCAGCCCTTCCCACAGCACTCCGTGCGCCAGCTGCTCCTGGGAACAGAGGTAGATTAGTAAGGAAAATGGAATACGAAAAACCCACGACTTGGGAGTCAGAAGAGGTTTTCCTGAAATGAGAGGGGTGGGGCCGGGCCTGCAGGACCCCCACCTCAGGAGTGGGGAGGAGGAAGCCCACACAGGGCGCGCTGGGCCCATTGGGGAGCTGTCCTCACACCAAGGCAGTCACTGCCAAGCCCAACAGTGTCTAGTGATTGCACTCGCCCCAGGCTCCACCCCCCTCCCTGACCTCCAAGGATGGTCCGCCTTGGGCCTGGAAGCAGCTCAGCCCATTCCCTGGGCCACCCAGGTCGGAGGGGAAAGCAGGCTCCGCCTCTCCTGGGGCGCCACTGCCCTCCCTCCGAGGGGCTGATCCTCTCTGCTCTTCACAAAAGGTCGCCCCCGGCCCGGTCAAAGGTGAGTCACTCGGTTGTGTTTGGAGGGCTTTCAGTGCACCCAGACAGACACCAAGTAGTCACCAGAATGACAAGCAGTGAATCAGCTGTGATTCTCCTGCTAGCTGGAATGTCCTGGGTGCTGTGTGACAGAGGACGCCACTGTGGCTCCTGGAATTACCCACCCCGCCTAGAGCGCTAGGTGGAAGAGAACAAGGTGCGCTCCAGCGGCAGGTTCCAAGGCAGAACTCCGGTCAGAACGTCAGAAAATCCAGCACCCCCGCCTCCCCACACACACGGAAGAGGAGACGCACAACAGACGCCGCATGTGGCAGGCAAGTGCCTTCCAACTCACTGCAGTCCTAACTTAGAGACCCTGCGGGCCCGAGCTGGGACGCCGACACCGGGATGGATCTACGCCAGGCATATGGAAGGCGTCACGTGTCACTACAGCCACAGCTAACTCTAAAATCATTTGGCCCATATTTTTGAGTCTGGTGGCAGACAAGGCCCTACCATTTCTGACTCCTTCTAAACAGAGTCCGAAGCCAGGCAGCAACTGGACCTCTTCCCAAAGGCTGAGAGCTGCCGTCCGCTGAGCCCGCACTTGGAAACATCCACGCCAGCGGGCCTTTGTCACATCCTGCCTGGACAGCAATCCCCACAAGGAATCGTGACACCTGGCGTTTTCTCCAGCTTACACAGGAGTGATAGGACAGGCCCAGTGTCATGGGTCACTCGCACTTGGGCAGGGACGGCAGAAGGGAGCACACCCTCGGTTTCCAGTCGTCAGAGTGCCCACCCCTACAGAGGGTGCACACCCGGACCGCAGCCACCAACTTCGAACAACGGCAGCTGGCGGGTGAGCGGTCAGTGGACGCACCCAGCTCAGCTTCTGCCACGACTGCGGAGGCCCCCATCCCTGCCAGGGAGCGGGCAGCTGGGCCAAGGCAAACCTTCAAATGGGGACCTTGCAAGCAAGAGGCCGCACTCGCCGACTCAGCAAGACACGCGCCGTTTACCCGTGTTGGTCAGCCAGGCCGGGGTGCCCCGCACCAGGCTCCTGCCCCTTGAGGAAGCTGACGAGCTGGGCAGAGACTCAAGTTTTGCTTTAGGGTCAGCTGAGTGCAGACCCCCTAAGGTGTGACACCGCCTCACTGGTCCATTGCCCTCTGGGACACCCGTGCCTCGGGGCTATCTGATTACGAGGCGGGGACACACACAGACACCAGGAGGACAGCAGGGAGACCCAAGGAGCCCGGAAGCCCCGACTCACAGCGCCAGTGAAAACAGGACCTCATTGCCACCCTGCTAACCCTCAGCACGAGAGGGCTCAGGTGCACAAGTGCTTCAACACTGTCCGTGCAGCCCCGTCCCGGTTCCAGGAAGTGAGGGTCTGCCCGTGCCCTCCCCCTCCAGGAGTCAGGCCCCGCCCCTCACCCCTACCCCTGCCTCTAGCCACCCACTGAGCCCTAGGAGACCACTAGAAGCAGCCATTACTTGACCCAAGTAAGAAAGTCCCTCCCTCCAGAGAGGCAGCGCGAGACGGCCACTCAGAAAGGGGACAGCTACACACAGATAGCTACACACAGTGGTTTTTCCTTTTGTAAACACACATCTTACTGAAATGATGGCTGGCCCCACACTGCAGAGAAAAGTGTTATTAGTTGCACATTTCAGTAACCAAACCTATTTATATATTTACATAAGTAAGATGTCCCCTTGATTCAGTGTCTGCACTTGTGTGGATTCCTTCAGTCTTAAACTCTTTAGCAAGGAGCAACAGCGGAGATTTTTTTTGATTAAAGCAGTTAAGCCCTAAGAACCCAGTCTTGAGACAGAGGAGTGAGCCTTCCGTTCGGAGGTTACTTCTCTCTGCTGTGTCCATGCCTGGCTGATCCTGACCACAGGCACGGCACACGGGTGGCATTTCCAGGTCGGGCGGGGAAGTGAGAGACGACTTATCACCAACCACCGTATCCCAAGCCGAAACCCTCCACTAGGGCGAGACCCCGACGACTCGGAAGAGCTGGCTTTCCGAGTACGAGTAACAGTCGCCCTCTCACTGCGGCTGCCAGCCTCAGGGCACAGGGTGGGCTAGGGGCCCGCGCTCCCCGCAGCGTCTCGGAGCAGGCTGGTACGTTCACTGCGGACACGCGGGCTTCCTGGAGGAAGGCACTGTCAGATTTCCTAGCAAGTCCTGTCTTAGGTCTCTGGAGCCCGCTACTCGGCCTAAGCGTGTCACTTCCACGGGAGACGCGTGTGAGGCCCGACACGCACACAGGCGCGTCCGCCGCAGGCTCCAGCCTCTGCGCACTCGGCCGCTCTCTGTCCTGCGCGCGTGCCAGGGCCCCGCCCTTTACCACCACCCCGTACTCCAAAAGCACACTCAGCCCTGCGAGTCCATTTGCTTGCAAGTTCCAGGTCCAACACCGGCCCTTAGGAATTTGCCGGCTCAGCCCAAGAGCAGGGGACTGCGACAAAGGAACAGGACACCGAGTGGCCACCATGACCTGCCTCTGAGGAGGACGTCCAGGCTCCACTCTGACCTCAGGCAGAGCAGTGAGCAACCTGGCCCTGCCGGTCCTCGCAGAAGCCGGGCTTGGGCACATCCTTCTGCCTCTCCTTGTGGCCCCCACTCCCGTGATTCCCCACCGAGTCCTAGAACCGACTGAAAACCCTTGCAAGGTCTAAGGCCACACTGGACAGCTGGCCGTCTCGTTCCTGAACACATCCCGCGACAGAGACCAAGGCCACTTTCCGAGCAGTCACCCTCGGGTGTCCAGAGCTCAGCCCGCTCCTGGCGACGCAACTCCCGACACCACAGCCAAGGAGCAGGCAGCTCCGGGAGACAGTGGCGGAGTCCTCATGGCAGGACCCGAGCAGGGCACCCTCCCCTCCCCTCCGGAGAAGGAAGGCAGGAAGTCACGAAGCGGACGCTGGCTGGGAAGCAGGAGCCGTCAGAGGCGAGGCCAGCTCCGGCTGCCCGGGCCCGCGCCCTCTGCCTACGGGCAGCAGGGGTTGTCGATGACCAACATGACGTCGATGCCGTAGGCCTCCAGCAGGTCCATGAGAAAGCCGCGGTCGCCCTGGGGGTCGAGACCCATGCCCCGCGCGTGCTCTGCTGTCAGAGTTTTGTCCTGACTGGCGGACACCTCCAACAAAGTCTGAAATATCCGGTTGTTCTGCTCCAGGAAAAACCTGCGTTTGTAAGACAAGACACAGGGCAGGGAGGAGAAGACAAGACAGAAAAGCTCGCCAGAAAATCCACACACGGGGAACCAAAACTCGACTGCTTTGGGGCCGGCGCAGTGGCGTAGCAGGTAAAGCTGCTGCCAGCGTCCCATATGGGTGCTGGTTCAAGTCCCAGCTGCTCCACTTCTGATCCATCTCCCAGTGCCAGGAAAAGCAGTGGAAGACGGCCCAAGTGCTCGGGCCCTGCACCCACGTGGGAGACCTGGGAGAAGCTTCTGGCTTCAGCTCAGCTCCAGCCATTGTGGCCATCGGGGGAGTGAACCAGCGGATGGAAGACCTCTCTCTCTCCCTCTATCTCGATATAACTCTGCCTTTCAAATAAAAGAAACAAATCTTAAAAAAAAAAAAAAACTATACTGCTTTGTGTAATACACGTTTAGATGACTTCAAAACAAAAATATTTTTAAAAAAGAAAAGGACACAGGGTGCAAGTTCAAGTCTCATTGCAGTGCTTGGCGCGCCTCACAGGACGGCGAGGGCGGTCTCTGAGCGCCAGCCTGCTGATGCCAGCACTGCACCTGCTGGGTAAGAGGGGAGTGAGGAGGGCCTTCCGCCCAGCTCCAGGCCCCTGGGACGGGCAACATCAGCCAAAGCAACCCGCTAACCCGGGTCTGAGGCCAAGGCTTGCAGGGAGAGACTGAAATCTACTTTCCAATCCAGGACCTCAGTTAGGAGCAGCAGCTGAGCCTCACTGGAGAAGAGGCGGGCCCTGCAGTGCGCCACCCACATGGCCCTGCCTGACCCCACCCACGCAGCCCTGCCTGACCCCACCCACGCGGCCCTGCAGTGCGCCACCCACACGGCCCTGCCTGACCCCACCCACACGGCCCTGCCTGATCCCACCCAACCGGTCCTGCAGTGCCCCACCCACGCAGCCCTGCCCGGCCCCACCCACGCAGCCCTGCAGTGCGCCACCCACATGGCCCTGCCTGACCCCACCCACACGGCCCTGCAGTGCCCCACCCGCGGGGCCCTGCCTGACCCCACCCACGAGGTCCTGTAGTGCGACACCCACGCAGCCCTGCCCGGCCCCACCCACGCGGCCCTGCAGTGTGCCACCCACATGGCCCTGCCTGACTCCACCCACGCGGCTTGCAGTGTCCCACCCACACGGGAAGGGCGGCCCCAGGAGGGGGCAGGCGCAGCGACCTCGTGAGCCCGGGGTCTGGGGCTGGAGGGGGAAGGGGGAGGCAAGGCGCAGGCCTGGCCCTGGCACGGCACGCCTGTCCCCCAGTGAGCACTGCTCGAGTGGACAGGGATGATGCACAGCCTGACTCTGCAGTCGCTGCGTCAGAGCCCTGGCGTATGAATGAGCCCACGAGGGAGGCAGCAGCGCCCGCAGAGCCCTTGGCTGCAGCCTTGGGCCCAAAGCCGCCGTGGGCGCTGAGAAATCGAGACCACACCGGGGTCCAGCCCTGACACCCACACACCTACAGGGCGCCGTGTCAGAAAGGGCTCTCAGAGTCAAGTCTGCCGCACCTGCGCACAAACGGCCACAGCCCAGCCAGAAGCCGTCCCCCACCCAGCCCACCGCACCCCGGACCTGGGGCAGGAGGACCAGGCAGGAAGAAGGCGGAGGGGGTGGGGTTCCATCCTGCGAGAACACGATCCGCGCCTAAGGGCTGAACCACGACTCTGCCCCCGCGCCACGGGAAGCAGCTCATCTGACTCGGGCGCTATGTTTCAGATGGTCCCCTAATGTCAGTGCAGGCACTGCCCCCCTGGGAGGAAGCGGCAGCTGACAAGTCCCGGTCCCGAGGGACACACGGAGGCTGTGTGGTGGCTCCAGGCAGTGAGCTCCACAGAAAGGCACGCGGGACCCTCCCATTCCTCCACCGACATGCCCCTGCCTCCCCGCCTCCCCTGGGGTCCCCGCACGGCCTCGCTACAGCGCCCCGTTCTGAGTGTCCCTGGACACAATGAGGGACATCCTGGGCCGCAGCGGGGACAAGGGAAGGGGCCGGGTCGTCCTCCGCAGGGCGTGCCGCCGCCCAGGGCCACTCACAGCACAAAGAGGTCCTCTTCGCAGGGGCTGTAGTCTTCCTCCACCTCCTGGGAGTACAGCAGCATCTGCCTGTGGGCGGGAGGCAGGTCAGCGCCCCGGGGGAGCCCAGCCACGGGCTCAGCACCAGGCTGCACCGGCCACAGCAGGCCCCTGGGCTCGAGGCACGGAGGGAAGGGACAGGAAGGGCTCGGATCCTACGTCCAGGGTCCAGGGCCAGCTGTGCCCCAGGTAATCCCAGGTGAGTGACAATCTCCCCTACCTGTCCATGAAATGGGGACGGTGACACGTTCAGCTCACAGGACAACTGGACTGAGATGGTGCACAAGCCTGTTTCTAATGCAAAGTAGATGCTGCACACTCGCAACCAGACCTAAGGGTCGCCTGGGCAGTTTCTGGACGCAACTGCCTTCCCTGGGCTCCACAGGTTCCCAAGTGCATCGGGAGGAAACGGCCCCCAGGGACGCGCCCCTCCCATCAGGGCAGCAGGCAGGGAGCCTGCCCTACCCCACTGCAGCGCCCCCTTCAGGTCCGGCTCCGAGGCAGCAGGCCAGCCGGCAGGAAGGCCCCGGGAGGGACGGCCGGCAGGTAGGACAGGCTTCGTGGAGAGGCACCCCCAGCCTGGGGCCAGCCAGGCCTCTCTCCCAGTGTGGCAGGTGCCAGTCTAGGCTGTGGCCACCAGCACCCACGGCACACGCGGCATGGCCCCGGGAGGGACGTTGGGCAGGCAGGACAGGCTTCATGGAGAGGCACCCCCAGCCCGGGGCCAGCCAGGCCTCTCTCCCAACGTGGCAGGTGCCAGTCTAGGCTGTGGCCACCAGCACCCACGGCACACGCGGCATGGCCCCGGGAGGGACGTTGGGCAGGCAGGACAGGCTTCATGGAGAGGCACCCCCAGCCCGGGGCCAGCCAGGCCTCTCTCCCAACGTGGCAGGTGCCAGTCTGGGCTGTGGCCACCAGCACCCACGGCACATGCGGCATGGCCCTGGGAGGGACGGTGGGCAGGCAGGACAGGCTTCATGGAGAGGCACCCCCAGCCCGGGGCCAGCCAGGCCTCTCTCCCAACATGGCGGGTGCCAGTCTAGGCTGTGGCCACCAGCACCCACGGCACACGCGGCATGGCCCCAGGAGGGACGGCGGGCAGGCAGGACAGGCTTCATGAAGAGGCACCCCCAGCCCGGGGCCAGCCAGGTCTCTCTCCCAGCGTGGCGGGTGCCAGTCTGGGCTGTGGCCACCAGCGCCCACGGCACACGCGGCATGGCCCCAGGAGGGACGTCAGGCAGGCAGGACAGGCTTCATGGAGAGGCACCCCCAGCCCGGGGCCAGCCAGGCCTCTCTCCCAGCATGGCGGGTGCCAGTCTAGGCTGTGGCCACCAGCACCCACGGCACACACGGCATGGCCCCAGGAGGGACGTCGGGCAGGCAGGACAGGCTTCGTGGGGAGGCACCCCCAGCCCGGGGCCAGCCAGGCCTCTCCCAGCGTGGCAGGTGCCAGTCTAGGCTGTGGCCACCAGCGCCCGCGGCACACGCGGCATGGCCCCAGGAGGGATGGCCGGCAGGCAGGACAGGCTTCGTGGGGAGGCACCCCCAGCCCGGGCCAGCCAGGCCTCTCTCCCAGCGCCCGCGGCACACGCGGCCCGGCCCAGGGCTGCCGCTACCTCTGCTCGTTGAGCCGCCGGTACTTCTCCCTGTCAGCGCTGTTGAGCTTCAGCAGGGGCTGCAGGTGGTCGTGGTGCGTCCTCACGTTCTGGTTATCCACGTAGACGTCGTACAGCTCCCGCTTCTCCTCAAATATCTTCTCTGTGGTGCCTGTGGGCCGAGGTCAGGGAGGTGGCAACCCTGGGGCGGGACCTGAAGGGAACTGGCCCAAGCCCAGTGGGAAACAGAGCAGGAGCCCGGGTGTGAATGTGGGAGGGGGCTCAGGCACGTGGGCAGGCGGGGTGAGGCCGGCCGGTACTCACAGGCCACATAGGACACCTCCACCTCCAGGCTCTCGATGTCGGCCACGTTCACATAGAAGAAGGGCTTGGACTCGGGAACAGTGCCCCCAATGCCGGGCAGTGACACGTTGGCCAGGCAGCAGCAGCAGTACACTGCGGGGAGGGGGGAGGGGGGCGGTCAGGAGAGGCCTGCGCCCCCCCCAGCCCCTTCCTCCTTCGAAGCCTGCTAGTCAACACCTTCTCTCCACGGTCAGCAGGTGGGCTGTCCCCACCCGAACTCATGCTGAGGGGCCAGCGTTGTGCTGCAGTGGGTTAAGTGCCACGTGCAGCACCGCCCATAGCGGAGTGCCAGTGTGGGTCCCGGCTGCTCCACTTCTGATCCGGCTCTCTGGGAAAGCAGAAGGCGGCCCAAATGCTTACGATTCTTGCCACCCATGTGGGAGTCCTGGATGGAGTTCCAGGCTCCTGGCTTCAGCCTGGACCAGCCCCAGTAGTTCTGGCCATCTGGGGAGTGAACCAGCAAATGGAAGATCTCTCTCCCTGTCACTGTACCTTTCAAATAATTCATCTTGAAAAACCAGCACAAACTCGTGTTGAGGCTTGGTCCCGGATGTGGTGCTGGGCTTTTAGGAGGTAATTGGGTCCCAGGGCTCCACCCTCACGAAGGGGTTGATATAGCTCCCTAGAGTCCAGGATCTCGAGAGCAGCTTACACAGGGGGCCCCTCAGCTCCCCTCCCCTCCACACATGCCTGTCGTCTGCGTGCACCCAGCCTCCCACCACGAGGCCCTCACTGGAAGCCAGTCATGCTCTTAGACGTCTAGAACTGTGCGCCAAGATAATCCTCTCTCTGTATAAAGTTACCCACCCTGGGGGGTTCGTTTCAGCTACGGGAAACTGACTACGGCAGGAGCCGGCTAGTGCCGGCATGGGCGAGCCTCCTCTCCTTGGGGTCACACCAGCACCCTGCTCACCGACCCACTAGGCACTTTTCAGTCTTCCTCTGGACGCTGTGGCCTCTCCCCTGCTCCAGGCTGGCCTGCTGGAACCCTTGCCTCTTCTGGCTCTCCCTTCCTCTGCCCGCCCCATCTCCGTCTCTGTCCTGCTACCCTGGGTGCTGCACCTGCTGTGCCCGCATGCTGCCCTCCCCCCACCCTCTCCCACCCTCCGAATCCCTTTTGCAGTGCAACTTTGCCCCAAAGGACCTGACCCAAACCTACGAGGGCCTGGCACACAGCCTCCTGCGCAGCTCTCACAGGCAGCACACCCCGTCATGTCCCAAGTTAGCCCCACACCTGTGCCTCCCCAACCACCCCAATCCTTGTCATCTTGGACTCCAGGACCTCACACAGAACAGCACCTCGAACACCACCACCCGCCCCCGCTGCTGCCCAGGGCATCTCGGGCCTGCTGGGGCCCACCGTGCCTGCTCTAATCCAGACCCCCACCTCTCACCAGAGTACTGAGGTGTCCCCAGCCCCCCAGGGCCCACGTTGTGAACACAGACCCACGCGGGCCACCGCTCCGCTTCCAGCCCCTGACACGGCCCAAACCCTCGCAGCCGCGGTCAGCAGTGCGGAGCCTCTGGAAGAACAGCCCGCCCCCCGCCTTGCTTTCCAGTCACCTCTATAGCACACGACGCCTACGGGCGGCGGGGAGAAGATCAGGATGCGCTTTCGAAGTAAGGCAAATTTCCAGAGGATGAGGATCTGTTCGCCAAAGAACTTGATAAACTGAGACATGCAGCCAGCTGGGTGTGTGATCTGCAAGAATACAGGGGGTTGGGAAGGAGGGAGGGAGGGACAGCTCGTTAGGATGATTGCAAAAATACACAGTGCAGCTGAGTGCTCAGTTCCGCCGCACTCCCCAAAACACAAAGCACAGCCACACAGCTCTGCTAGGGGGTGGGTATTTCCACATAAAATGACACTTGTCACCTTAACCGTCTCAGGTTTAAACCGGACCTCTGCACTACAACAGCTCCCCTGAGACACAAGTTTGAGTGTAGGGATCATTACCCACTTTTCTGGGAAGAGGTACATAGGAAGACTGCTCAATTTAACATTATAAAGGATCTCTGAAGAGACAGGGCACATGAATGAGAAAGTGCAACTCAGGGGCCGGCGCTGTGGCACAGCGGGCCACGGCCTGCAGCGCCGGTACCCCGTGTGGGCGCCGGTTCGAGTCCCAGCTGCTCCACCTCTGACCCAGTTCTCTGCTATGGCCTGGGAAAGCAGTGGAAGCTGGCCTAAGTCCTTGGGTCCCTGGACCCGCCTGGGGGACCCAGAAGCAGCTCCTGGCTTTGAATCAGTGCAGCTCCAGCCATTGCAGCCATTTGGGGAGTAAAGCAGTGGATGGAAGACCTCTCTGTCTCTGCCTCTCTGTAACTCTGCCTTTGAAATAAATCTTAAAAATGTGCTATGTATGTATATATATGTGTGTACATACATACATACATACACACACACACACTAGAATATTTGGCCATGAAAAAGAATGAAATCCTGAGACTGCAGTGAAATGGGTGGCATTGGAAATCATTACACTAAGTAAAATAAGCCAGGCCCAGAAAGACAAGAACCACATTTTCTCTTTCATATGGAAATTTACTTACATTTTTATATACCGTATTCTTTGGTACCTAAGCGGGCATACATGCTGTCTTCACTGAGTTACACATATTACATAACACACCCTTCTTTGTTCATTTTATATCTTTGCCATGAACCCCACGTTGCGTGTTCTTATGTGTATGTAAATGTTCATATACGAAGTGAACGTGGCAAAGCGCTGAAAACTGGCAAATCCATGTGTCCCCACTGAACTCTGTATACTTCTCTGTCCTGAAGTGTTCCAAAATAAACATCCTAAGAAGAGCCACTTGCCTGTCCTGGCCCTGCCACATAGCAGCAGGGAGGCCTGGGAGAGGGAGCTGCTGTTTCCGGGGCACCCGCCTTAGCTGGGAGGTGGGCGGAGCACCACCACCTCACACCGCCACTGAGACCAAGGGACACAAGACGGGGCGTGCTCGGCTTGTCGCCCAGGCCCACGTGCGGGGACCGCTGCTGCCACTGACCAAACAGGGGTTTCCAAGCGGGTGCCTCGTGAGACTTTTAGGGACACGGGCCAGAGCTGCTGTGACAAAAGGCGCCAACACCAAGGCCACCTGCTGTGATTCAAGCAAGGGGAGCCCTCGGGAGCCCTGAGGCAGCAGTGCACTGTGTCTCCTGCAGCTGCAGGAGGAGCGCCCTTCCCTGGCGTCTCCCTGTCCTGAAGCCGCCGCCCAGCACGCCCTGGCCCTGGCCCTGGCCCTCTGCCTCTCCTCAGCCTCCATCCAATTCCTGAATCCCTACGAGAGGTACCGTGGCCAGGCCTGCTCAGGCCTCTTTCACGGAAGTCGGACAGGAAAGGGAGCCCACGCACATCCCAGGTCCACCGCGCCCTCCCCATGCCCATCTTCCAGCCCTTAACGTGCGCTTCCAGGGCACCAGGCCCTGGCAGGGCTTGTACCAGTGTGTCCTGGGCATCTGAATCTACAAGGATCCATTCAGGTCGTCCTCGTCTGGCCGCTCATGGATGTAGTCATTCAAGAAAGACGTCTTACGGGCTCACTTTGTATTCTAGTCCCAACAATGAACAGAAAAGCCCCAAGCTCTCCTTGCTGTAGTTCACAGGCCAGCAAAACAGACAATTCCAACACAGCCCGAAGGCAGCGGGGATGGGAGGCGGGCAGGAGGCCAGGGCGGCGCACGGGAGGGTGCCTCACCCCTCTCTGGGAGTGATATCTACATCAGCTCACACAGAGGCCTGGAGACAAGGGGGGACATGCCACTTGCTGGGAACAGCGAGCTCAGTGCTTGCCGAGCCCAGGTCTAGGGCTGGAAAGTGCCGGAGGAGCCAGGGCAGGTGCCGTCTCCTCTCCTCTGAGTGTCAGAGAGACTCACACCCTCCCTCACTCCCCTGTTCAACTGCACAGCGCACAGACACTTCTTGTGCAAACCTGGGGCTTCTCCTCCCATTTCCCAAGCCGGCACACCATCCCTCCCACGCCCCTGGACCCCACCTGACCCATCCGGGGGCTTCTCCCTCCCATCTCCCAAGCCAGCACGCCATCCCTCCCATGCTCCTGGACCCCACTTGACCCACCCGGGCCGCACCCGAGGCTCTGCCCCACAGCCCCCTGTCCGTTGCACTCCTATCTGCCCGGGGAGCAGTTAGCAGCCACCACTGGATCTCTGCCTCTGTCACCCCTCCCACCTCTGCCTCAGTCTTCCCTCTCACTCCTGTACCAAAAACTCACTTGTTTAACATTTCCCCTTACAAACTGTGTTTATTTTGCAATAATTCACTGACTACACTTGGGATTTTTGAACTTGTTCCCATGAATGTCATATTTCAATAAACAGTCTGAATAAAAATTCTTTAGTATGTGCATGTGTGTGATTTTCTATAAATGACAAATGGATTCATGTCATATATGCCATTTTTTAAAAAGTCGTGGCATTTTTTTCTGGTCCCATCCTTGTTTATATGGATAGGCACTGTCTTTCCCACACCCTCCCTCTCAATAACCTAGTATGTGCATCCACGCACGTTTTCCCATGTTCATGTATGCATGTGTGTCTACCCATATCGATATTCAAGGCTGTGATAATTCAAGAAAAGCATGATCGTATCATACAGAGTTTCCTGTACCAACAGCCCTGGGAAATCTTCCACATGGATTTCTTATGCTCCACTCATCTTCATAATGGTCATGAGAGTTGGGCATCTGGTTTTTGATCCTTCAACAACTGGATGTGCTTCACACACATCATGTATTGTGTGCTACACACACATCATGTGGTAGTCTTCTATCTGCAGAAGTACATCATTGTGGTGGGCTTCTACCTACAGAAGGGACTGACACACAAGACTGCTGGACAGTTTAAATACGTTGGCATCTCGTGGTGTTTCAAGATTCTCCACATTTGTATTGCAACCCATGAAAGCACCCTTCTCCCTGCGGCTCACAGGATGCAGCAGGTGGGACTGAGCGGCCCTCAAGCAGAGCAAAAGCATGTGGTGAACCTCCCTTTTCTGTGCTGTTTGGCCTCTCGGGAGAGGGTTCCAGAGACAGTCGGGTGAGCCTGCTCATCTCTATAGATTGGGAGACAGTCCTGGAGCAATTTGACTCAGCAGGAAAAAAGGGGCAGAGTTAGGAACAGACAGAGGCAGGGACTTGTGTCAGTACAAGCCCGGAATCCCCCAGATGCCTACTCTGACCACTGGATTGTCCCTCAGCCCAGGCCAGGTGGGGGGAGAATCTGCAGACCAAGTCTCCTGGGCTCCCACACCAACAGGCTTCCCTCAGGCCCTCTCAGCGGGAGGCAAGGACGGGAGCTGGGCGGCAGGAGGGAGGCAGCAGGAGCTCCCTTCCATTTCCAGCCCTGGAAGTCCCTATGGCGCCAGCCTCCAGCTCTTCTTAGTTCCCTCAGCACACGCCGGGTCACACACCGAGAGGGACCAGCATCAGATGCGCAGCACTTCAGAGGCTGGGCAGTGCACAGCCCCTCTTCAAGCTCCTGTGTTTTTTTGTTTGCTTGTTTTGACAGGTGGAGTTAGACAGTGAGAGAGAGACAGAGAGAGGTCTGCCTTCCATTGATTCACCCCCCAAATGGCCGCTATGGCTGGTGCACTGCACTGGTTCGAAGCCAGGAGCCAGGTGCTTCTCCTGGTCTCCCATGGGGTGCAGGGCCCAAGCACTTGGGCCATCCTCCACTGCCTTCCTGGGCCACAGCCGAGAGCTGGACTGGAAGAGGGGCAACCGGAACTATAACTCGGGATGCCGGCGCCGCAGGCAGAGGATTAGCCTAGTGAGCCATGGCGCCGGCCAGCTCCTGCGGTCTTGATAATGCCACGTCCCCGTGTTGTCACTTCAGCCCTCGCACGTGTGGCAGACTGCCCGCCCCCGGTATTTGCAGCCTTATGGGATCCATCTTCCTCTTGAGCTGCTCGCTGCTAACCAGGAGGATACGGCAACACTGCAGGGCTTGTCACTTCCAGGATTAGGTTACAAAGGATTCTCTCTTGCACCTTTCTGGAAAACTGTTGGCGAGTGTTGATGAAGCAAATGGTCACCTGCTAAGACCCACATGGAAAGATCTCAGGGAAGCCTCCAATAACCAATCAGCGGGGTGCTGAGGGCCCCCAAGAAACGCAGCCTTGCAACGCCCACAGGGGCTTCCCAGTGGGCCCTTCCCCGCCAAGCCTTCAGACGAGGCCTTGCCCTGGCTGCTCCCCGACCACAGTCACGCGAGAACCCGTGAGGCCCGTGAGGCCCCGGCTAAGCCCTGCCAGGATTCCCAGTTCTCAGAAGCTGTGAGATGATGCAGACAGAAGGCTACAAGCCGCCATTCTGGGCAATTTGTGACACAGCAATAGATGACTAATATGGGATGGCAGCTGTGTCTGAAAATTAGTAATAAGTGAGTTACCTCATTCCCTCCTCACTCTCTGTCTATATTACCCGTTCCTTGTACTGAATTACTATAAAATACCCAATACGGCTTCTGTTTGCCTAATGAGAATTTACTTACAAGGTTCTCTACAACCTGATTTCAACCTGTTTTTCCAATCCTTTATCATGGAACCCCGGTCACAGTAGTTTGCATGTGTCCCGTGAATGTCTCTCCCCTGTGTTCACTCTGCAAAGGCAGTGAGCTGGGGTAGGGAACACATAGTGGCTTTGCTACCAGGCCCAGGTTTAAAGCCCAGCACTCTCTCCTGCTAGCTTCGAAGTCTAAAGCGAATCACGGACCCTCCACGCCTCTGGTGCCCTAGCTGGAAAGCAGGGATTAAAGAAAACACCCCCCCGTAAAGAGGGGGCAACAGGTATCGATGAACGGCCAGCATCAGAAGGCGCGGAGAGCGGCCGACCACAGATCCACCTGCTGCTTAGACCTCCCGCAGCCTGGAACTAGCACTCCTCACTTCCCACCGGTCAGGGACCAACTGGTCTTCCGAGACGCCGCCTCAGAGCTCGCCCCTAAACCCGTGGCGCCACTTCTGCGCCAAGGGAGCCCTGCATGTCACAGAAGCATCCTGGGACCCACACGGGACGCGGGACGCGGGGAAGATAAAGAGGAGGTTCCCATTCGTAGTTGTCTTTGTGCTCGACCAGCACTGAATGCCTGGCCCCGTGTTTTGTTAACCGTAAACAACACATCCTAACGCTGCAGAAAAAATACAAAATAAAGCAACATCAAAACTATCGTAACTTAGGGTGCCGGATTCTGTCCCGGTTGCCCCTCTTCCAGGCCAGCTCTCTGCTGTGGCCAGGGAGTGCAGTGGAGGATGGCCCAAGTGCTTGGGCCCTGCACCCGCATGGAGACCAGGAGAAGCACCTGGCTCCTGCCTTCGGATCAGCACGATGCGCCGGCCGCGGCGGCCATTGGAAGGTAAACCAATGGCAAAGGAAGACCTTTCTCTCTGTCTCTCTCTCTCACTGTCC